GGATAATTATAATGCTCATTTTAGACATTGATGGAGTGGTCTAGACGGTAGGAAAGGTCTACGATTTGTCCGGGGAAAAGCTCTGTCGTGCCCGGATTGAATCAAACTGACCCGCTTTTCTTAGCGTATCCACCGTTCCCTACAGATCCACGCACGAGGGGTAGTTTTATCATTTTTATCAATCAAGCCAATTATATCCCTAAGCCACAATATCGCGGTGGTCTACGGCGAATCAGAGCGCGTCTATCATTGGACTTTTTTTACTCGGAAACTAATACCACTTACTCCCCTTTTTTATACCGCAATCCTCCGCCAAATTTTGTCTCGTGCTTTTATAAGATTAATCTGCGCTTCCGTTAACTCCAATTCGCTTGCGCTGCGATGAGTATTTGGCCGTTATAGAGTCTTCATAATTAAATCAACTCGAAGGCGGACCGTATGACAATATTTACCCAAGTCCAAAAGGGCCTAGCTCTTCTTATAAGAAAAGTGTACGATTACAAAATAGTCTCGGCTATTGATTCTCCCCAACCGTTTATTATTCCCCGATCAGCTTTCGCCAGGGGATCTCTATCCTATACAAAGAAAATCCTATAGGTACCCCTAGCCAGAGCTATACGTGCCGAGATTTCTGCGCTAGGCAGGGGTTGAATTCTAAATCTATTAGCGCAATCAACAGTATAACCCCCGTTCCTCTTGTTCACAGCCCTTAAAGGCTGGAAGGCGTGATAGATAAAGTCAGTGTATCAGTGGTAGATCTAGTAGATTATATCGTATAGACTGTGCGCTATGTATGCTATAGGACGTTAGAAGCTTACGTTCCGTGCCGACAGGGGCCGGGCTGCGGCCCGGTTCTGATCGCTTTATTTTTTGGTGCAATAAGGCACTAGTCCGTATATAGTTAGAAAGAAGCGGTTTAAAAAAGAAAAAAGATAATAAATAGAATCGGAATTAAACCAGGAATTATTGACGGAGATATACACAACATACTAATATAAGTCAACCCAATCTTGCAGGTGTCCTTTAATCCCCTAGTTTCATTCTAATCTCACCTCTTATGTGGAGGATAATCCACGAACAGCACCTAAGGAACTGAAGGCTACTTGGCTTGATAAAAACAGCGCTGTTCAATCCAGTCTGAAGCAAGGTCGTATACCGATGTCCCGACTTATACACAATTGGAAAGGATACGTCTAGACTGTAAGAGGCGTTGCGATTTACCCGGGGAAAGCTCAATTTCCTCCACTATCCGCAGATCGAGCCCGGGTTTCCGGAGGGCACCCTTTCCCCTGAATTTAGGGGCTAAGACTGCGTTAATTGTCCTCTATCGGGCAGGGACATACTGAGATAGAGTACACCCGGAAAATCGTATGTCCTTCAATCGACTGAGCAATTTCAAATAGCCAATTTTATAGTATTGTCGTATAACGGGTAGCTATCGCTTCACGTAGTAAGTAGTATTCCTTAACCGAGATAACTCCACGCAAGCTGCCCAACATCCCGTATGGTTACGTATCTGTGTCGCTATTGGCTTCAAAAGGACAATTTGCGGATCAGTCCGGTGGACACGAAGATCCCGCTATCGGGATCTGACGCTGATCTCGGATTTAGCCTGGACCGACGCGCGCGACCGGTGTTCGATACAAAGGCCCTGTCCAATTATCGGCTCTGGTCGGCTTATAAATCTGCCCAAGCGCAATGGTAGAGCTTAAAGACAGGAGGAAGCTATTTTGGACCAAGTTATTTGAGACTGCTTATCAAATTCCAAGTTAGCAAGATAGCGATAGTCCAGTAAGATCGTGACACGCGGACTAAGCGCCGGTGTTACGGATACACTACCTGATATATCAGAATAATCGCAAAGTCGCCGTTTTGCGAACTTCTTGATACTTCAAATGAGGCACTAGTCAAAAGGAAGTATTATAGACGAGTGTATTACGGAGTGGGGTTTTGATTTCCAGCCTACGGTCGGACCAGCGTCCCGCAATATTGGCTAATGATAGGCACCTCTACGGAGTACAGCCTCTATCACAAGACAAGAAACTAGACCTTGCCAACTCCCATGGACCCACTCCCATGAGAAAGTCTTGGCGGTCAAAATTAATGCCAAGCCCGACTATCACTGCCTATTTAGGTAATATAATTCCCTAAATAGGCTTAGCCTAGTCCCATGGGAGTGATTTTACTCCCATGGGACCAGGATATGGGACCAAAATTTTCTTAGTCCCATGGGAGTTGGCAAGGTCTACAAGAAACCTATCATCCGCGCTAATACATTCGTAAATCGGAGGCCACCATAACTTCCGCCGAAGGGGCGTTTGCGGAATGGGATTAAATGGAGAAGTGTATAAGCTTGATCTTCGTGACTCAAGGGAAGATGGTATGGCCGTGCAACCTCCTGGCTGGCGTATCGAGTACTGAATGATAATTGTCTAGGTGGCGTTATATATACTGCTTGGGTCACGCACTGCGTGGATGATAGTGTTTGCTGATTTATATTCCGTCTGGCTAGATAAACAACACCGCAATTCCTCCATGATAGCACACACTTCCTCTGCAAACCGACTCAACTTCTATTCTCTTCAAAATTGCGGTATATATTGGCTAACTGCTGGGAGAGGTTGCTGATTTGCTTGGGTTGGCGTTTGTTGATTGGTCAAAGGAAAGGTATTCGGTAGTGAATAGCTTTGTAGCGGGTTGGTCCCAAGCGAACCCATCTGGCTGTTATAGACCGGCCAGGATGGCTGTAACACATCAGAAGCAGGGAAGCCAGCAAATGTAAGCTTGTTTTTCTCTGCGTTTCTCTCTAAATCTATCTTCTTCTCGAGCTGGCTCTGCGCATATTGAAAATTGCCGCTGACCTCCAGTAGTATGGGCAACAGATTATCACCGGCTGCGCTACCAACCTGTGCAGCGTCGATTTGCTGTTTCAGATTGGATTTTTGGACCTCAAGTGTTTGAATCTTGGCCAGATTCTGGTCATTGGTGTCACTCAGCTGGCGAATCTTTTCCGTGGCTCGGGCGTTGTCGGCCTCTAGTCGCTGTATGGATCGTGTGAGCTCGTCCCGCTCTCTATCAGCCTCCATAAAACCCTGTAAGCATTGTCTGTGGACAAGCTTCCAGTTTTGTTGCTGTTGTTGCTTCCGGGCCTTCACTATTGGAGAGGAGTTCTATATTCCACATTTGGTTGAGTATTTGCTTTCACGAGACCAGTGATAACAGGACATACCAATGATGTATGAAGGTTTGCGTCTTGAGTGTCTGATAGAGAGCCGCCATTGCCGGTGCTGGGAGGGCGTCGAGTCCGTTTGGGAGCAGCATCTGACTCGGAACTGCTATGACCAGTATCGGCGGGTGTTTTGGATATGGTTCTACGGGAAGTCATATCGAGCGCCAGCACTCTAAAAGGGATTTCTTTGCAAGATAGAGTGTCTCGTTGTGTAGCATTGACCGTTCGGGTGGACAACGTGGGCTCTTATAGGTCTCCGGCATACGTGCTAGTAGCCAGAACATTTCGATTTTAGTCCCCTGCCGCTTAATTTGCGCCGCAGGATTGCGAGGTTAGCGGATCGGATACCCGGCCATTGGTCTATATCAAGACAACCGGCCCGCAATAATAGTTATCCTGTAATTTCCACACTTTGGTTACTTGAGGGTCGGTGATCGGCCGTTAACTATCACTTAACCGGTAGGTTTCTCGACGGTGAACACACTTCGTTATCTATAATTCTGCAGTCAGGTTTTGAAACATTGTCGAGACGGCGTACTCTTTCTGTCAGTAGATAGCGCTTATTCACATCCTCAATAAAAATTATCATTGAAATCTGACCCCGGTCTCATTCAAACTGCCCAAACTTTGCCAGACCATGCAATTTCGCCAAGTACCCGACCGCCGCTAATATTATTGATCTACCTGGTCTTTTCGGTTACTCTGGACGGTATACTTTGGCTCGGACTTCCCGCCGCTAATTACTCGAAAAGCTCTATCAGACAACGTATATCGCGCCGAGCAGGAACTGATAGGTAAGTCAAATGTTGGTTAATTCCCGAATTACTCACTCCATACCTGTACATCAAGCATTCCATCAATGATCTCCGATCGACAGTATGATACAGGCTGTAAGAAATTTGCGACAACAGTAGTGGACCATACGCCGATCTACGTTCGTAAAAAGATAGGTTTTGGGCGATCAGTAGAAATAAGAGTCTGATTCGTTGGGCCTCATAAGCTACCCCACCTTCGAATCGATCGCGACTCAATAGTTCCGCCACTCAACCAGATATCAAGAATATGGGTTAACATAGATTATCCCTGTCGCATAATTTCCGGTTTCCTGTGATTAGAAATCATATACCGGGGTACGCGATTCGGCTCGGTCTCGACCGAGTGGCACGCGTTGAGTCTGTCACTGTTGACCCTTCCCTAATAGGTTTAGTATCTATCGTTCTTTCTGTTATCGCAAAGGCCGCGGTTACCTTAATCTCTAAGCTGGCTGTATTTACTCGACGTCAGCCGAGGAAATCCTATCAGTTTCTGACGGTGAGTGAATCCTATCACTTTGGTATATATAGCGGTTCTCTGTGAAAATATAAAAACGTGCTATAAGTCTTGGGTTAACAGTGTATACTACTAGTCTAAGCTTCGCTATTTCTGTCCTAGCTGATATATACGTATGATTGGGGTTGAAGAAGAACGAGAATATTTGCTACTATCACAGGTGGGAGGTACAATACAGTCCTCGGGTTCTCTCCACCGTTCCAAACTTGGGCCGGTCAACCGTCTATGGTCCAAAAGAGCTCAAACGGACCGTTCAAGACCTATGAGATATAAGTCTATTGGAAGTCTAAGGAACTCTAGTTGAGGACTGACTATTGATATAGAGATTTATATACAAAGCACACCTCCGTTGCTCGAATAAGCTTCCTACTGCTTCTGTCAAACCTATCTCCTCGTTACTCCAATCAAGACATACCTTAGTGCCTGTCTTTATTCTGATAGAATGGATTCCTCGGTAGGCTTACTAACCCCCCTTTCAAGCTCTATCTAACTCCGAGATAGGAATATCTTCGACTCCTCGCGAGGCTCGACAGTCGGGCAGTCCGGGCAGAACGAGCCCAGACCAAACTTGAACAAGAACTGAGCGCCTCAAGGGCTGCCGAGAATCAAGCCACAGAGGAGCTAGGCCATGTATCCAGATTAGCGGATATCTTCTTTGAGCTCAGTCAAATTCTGGGGGGCGTGGTAGATCATTGGCTGAAGGAGCACGGAACCAAAGAACCCGGCCAAGAGCCGGAGTCAACAAAGGTAGTGCTTGATATATTGTTAAAACAGTTGGAAGCACAGAAGTTAGCCAATAGCGGTGAAAATTCCGGTGATGACTCGGAAAGTGGTGGTACAAAGGCTGCGGTATAGTGCAGCTAAATCATCGCTAGACGATAGCTTACTGTGCATCGTTCCTTATTTATATACATTGGTTTGTTTGCGAAATGACTGGGATTTTTTACGGCTTGTTTGCGTGCAGAGATGTCGTAATATTCTTTTTTATCTACATTGCTATTAGACTGCGACATCGCCCATGGACGGGCGGGTGGGCAGTGCCCACGGGCCTTATGTAAGCGGGCGATGGGCACTATCCATACGCCCATGGACGGGCCCTACCCTTAGGGCCCATTGTCCATGGACACCGTGGGCGCCCATGGGCCTTTTTAGTAAGCAGAATTTCTTGACCTCGTGACCTGCATTATTTGTGCATTTTTTTCTCTGTATTTTTGAGTAATTCGATTACATGTACAATGACTTGATACTACTGTCAATTTTCTGACCTCGGTCAGAAAAATGAACTGTGGAAGCCTTTATACAATGACTTAACACCACAGTCAATTTTCTGACCGAGGTCAGAAATGAGCTTTAGAAGCCTTTATATAACAACTTGACACATTGTCACTTTTTTGACCGGGGTCAGAAATGAGCCTTAGAAGCCTTTGCATAATGACTTAGGCATTCATTGTATTCATACATTCACACTAATACGATACAAATTGATCATCATTGGGTTTGCCACGCTTCCTTGCTTCTCTTAAACCAGGGCGCTTTTGAGTGCTACCCTTATCTCTATAATGAGGGAGATGAGGACTGCTCTTATCTTCGCTGTCGACTAGCTCACTTCTCTGTCGCTTCCGCGTACTTAGCACTATAGAAGGACGAGGAAGCTGACTCTCCATTATAAACTTATGCTCGATCAGTCCAACAGGATCATTATCCTCGGAATCCTCACTATCGCTGATTGGTTCAGGTATGTCAGTGGTAAGCTCAGCCTCTCTCTGTTCGTCTGCTTCTTGCATTGAATCTAAGGACGTATCCTCATCGGGTAGTTCTTCTATTTCAATGTCGAACTGGGTTTTACACCGGAATATCATGATATCCTGGACTGTCTTCGCACTCAGCCGCCCACGTCGGTAGTGGTAGATATCCCGTGCTGAATTGAAAAGACGTTCAACTCTAGCGCCTGTTGCAGGAATAGAGAGAATGTCGCGAGTAACACTTGAAAGAATTGGGAATTCATTCTTATATTCCTTCCAGAATTGTAAAGGATCGACCTTTCTCCTTGCTATCATAGGTATTAGTATTCCTGCTCGTAATAACAGTGAATATAACGTACGCTTTTCAAGGTATCTAGCAAGTTCGTGCTCCGACGTTGATGGATCAGAGTGGATGTGAGGCAGAAGGTCAAGGAGGGCGTCTAGGTCACTTGTACTGGCTGAGTGACGCTTGGGGGGTTGCTCTTCTCGTAGGGACCGTGTCTGAGTGTGTCTTTGGGCGTAAGGAGCTATGAACTGGCGAAGCGTTTCCTTATACTGATCACTCCAGTTTGTGTCGTTCTCCGATGTACCCCACGCCTTACTTGAGAAGAAGTGAAGCTTATGCTGGGGTGCAAGAATTGTTCCAATTGCGTAGAGACTACCATGGATCTCTTTCGTCTTTGTGTAGTAAGAGGTAAGCTTTGCTATCCCAGCATTGAGGGCTTGTAGTATCGCCTTCTTCCAAGGTATGGTTTTCGGAGTGAGTTGTGCAATCGATTCCTCGAAGTGCTCAAAGAGGGCGTTATAAATACCAAAAATATGATGTACCGTTATCTCTTTGGTCTTTGAAAGCACTGTGGTAAAGCGATAGAACGGCTCTGTGATATACAGAAGGTAGTCGACCTGCCGCCATTCTGCCTTACTGAGTTTGTATTTCTGAGTCCCAATGTTATCACAGTATTTATCGTAGGGCTTGCTGAGGCGTTTCGCACGACGAAGTATCAAGAAGGTAGAATTCCAGCGGGTGCGGATATCTTGGATAGGCGCAAGTTTTGCTCCATTGGTCTGGAGACGGAAGAAATCATCGCGACGTTGGGGGCTTGCATTAATGAACACAGTAAGCCCTCGAATCTAGATAGTTATTAGATATATTAAGTGATAAACAAAGTGATACACTTACCTTGACAAGGGTTTGTACAATGACTTGTTCACTCTGTGAAGCACGGAGTGATCGAGCTTGGGCTTGGGCTTGGATATCAGAAACATTCCGATCTTTGGTATCGTTCTGGGGATCGGCCTTCACCGATCCAAGTAGCTCGCGAAGGCTTAGCTGGATAATATGTGCAAGACAAGGGATTCGAACAACCACCGGGCTATTCGGTAGTTTAAGGGAGTCAATAGAGTCTTGAACTGCCTGTACCAAAGTTGTGTTATTTGACGCGTTATCTGATATAATCGCTAACACACGATTAGTAATATCAAGCTTCTTAAAGATCTCTATAAGTACTTCACTTAGATTCACACCAGAATGCGCCCTATCAAGTGGTTCGAAACCAAGTAGGAGCTCACGGTAATTCCAGTCTCGGTCGATAAAGTACCCTGTGATTGCTATGAATACCTGCTGAAAAGGCGATGTCCAGTAGTCCAGGGCGATTGAGAGCTTCGCATCTTGTGGCAAGGTAGCGAGAATTGTATGTTGCTCCTCGTCGACCAATTTCTTGAGCCGGCGTTGAGTAGTGCGAGGATGGAGTAAAGTGGGTTCAGCTGGAGCCTTTTGTGCTATTCGAATCAAGGAAGCAAATTGCTTCCTCTCAAGTATCCGGAAAGGGAGGTTCAGACTGGTAAGACATTCAATCTGCTCTCTTTCCCATTCATTATACGAGAATTTTGAGTTATGAGATAACTCCAGTGCCTAATATATAATATGTTAGTTATCTTGAAGGGTATAATCATATAAGACTTACCGGTATATGCTGTATAGTCTCCTTAATCGACTGTTGTGTAGACTTGCTTTTACCACCCTTTTGGCATTTGCCTGAGGCTAGATGCCGCTTGAGTGTGTTGGTGCCGCTTTGCTTTGTACTTGGATGAGGCAATGTAACCCCACACGTCCGATATATAACCAAAGGTTCGCCTGTAATATAATGTGCTACCTGGTCGAAGTTCTCCCAGACATCTGATATGTGTTTTGCATCCCACCGTAGCCTTTGTTGTATCTCAGTACTGCTGCCGTGTACTGTGGTACGCCACCACTCGATAAACTTTACTTTAGACGCGTTGTTCATCGCGTCGTAGAGGATAAACTGCTTTCTCCGATCGGGGCCGACGCGTTTGAGAGAGCAATCAAGAATAGCCGGTTGAGTGAACTCGGACTCTATCAGTGAGATAGAAGTCTATTGGCTGTTGAAGAGACTGGGATCAATATTTGGATCAAGGTTGGGATCAAATATATCGGCGACGTAGGAGAGGTCTGGTTGGGAGCTCGGAGGAAGTGAAGAAGGCCCTGCGGTATAGGCACTAGGTTGGGACATGGTTAATGTGATGTAAGGGATAATATAACGACTATAGGAGAGTGAGCGATCTGAACTTACAATAGTTAACTTATGACTGTGTGAAACGGGGATTACTAGTAAAAGGGGTGCTTTGTATAGATCTGATAGATCGTAAATTGAGTGTAGACCCACTATATATTATAAGCTGATTGGCTATAAGTGTCTTTGTCCATGGGCATACCCGTGGGCACGCCCGTGGGCACGCCTATAGGAATATACCTAAACGCCTATCTTGAGTTATAATCGAAGGATTTAAAACTCCCAGAATAATAATATAAGTCTTTAAGTGATATAATTGACAGAATTTAGTGATATAAGCTTATAAAATAAGAATTATACTAATTATCTTTCGATCTACCTATAAGAAATATACCAGAGTGAGAGATAAAGTAGAATCCATAAGTAGTATTTTACTTATGGAAAATACCAGGTATGTACCACTGACTTGAATATATATCTTCAAGCTGTTACAGTATGATTTGATAAGTTAATAAAAATACCACACAACATGATATATTTCGATTAAAATTTTATTCCAAGTCGTATCATATATATACTAGTTTCTTATATACATAGATATTTCAGTAAAATTTATAGATGTTGTAGATTAAAACTGCCATTTTACATGGAGTTGGCAAAACAGGTGTAAATAACAGTTATTTATTATGCAAAGTCAGCGAGTTATACGTCCATTTTGGGTGACTTTATGCAATGTTGGGCATCGTGGGCATGCCCGCCGTGGGCATGCCCGTGGGCCTTGGGCGTTATGGACGGGCACTCGAAAATCCAAATAGCCCAAGGCCCACCGTGGACGGGCCTTGGGCACCTCCTAGGTGCCCATGGACGGGCGATGTCGCAGTCTAATTGCTATAGCCGTTGAAACGGATCCGTTTCTATATCTGCCTAAACATATATGTACCGTTGTATTCTTAGTTCAGTTTACAACACCTCTTTTCGTGAAGCCGCCACGGTTATATTCCAATTTGTTCTGACTATAAAAACCAACAGATTTTCCGTTGTGCTCAGAAGCTGACGCGTGAGCTTCAATATATTCCGGAAGACGATCCTTCTAAGTATACCATCACCGATTCGCTACCCCAAACTCAATCTGCCGCCAGACTGGAAGCTGTATTCAAATGAGACCGTATTCGATGATTGGCAGCTCCATCGCCAGAGTTAGTTTCTAAGGAATTCCAGAAGCAGAAGACAACCAGACAGCTCTGAGCTCGGTATGCAAGTCCAATATGAATATTTCTCTTATATCAATACTAAACCATACAGCAGAGGGCTATCAATGAGAAGGTGAAGGGGCTGCTCCTCAATAAGACAGAACACATACCCGGTCGTTGGCGGGACGCTCTATCTATCCGTGAATCCTTGGACACAGGATTTTGACAACGGACTCCATTATCTTCAACCCATCGGCACTCTAAATGATGATTGGGATCGCCAATAATTTGGCCGAGGATTGACTGAAGATAGTCAGAGCTCCAGGCCATATTAGTGGATCGTACAAGAGGATGTGCAGAAAATCAAAGGAAGATATCAAGCCGGAGACAGTGAGGAATTTCCGTAAATCTTTAGGGGTACATTCTTTATATTAATAAAACGCTCCCGAATAGACAGTGGAATCTCTCGTGGACCGGACGGTCCAAGCGTCTAGTGAAATTGAAGAGCCCTAGTGGCTTTTAGTGTACTATCTTTACAATCGAAGCCTCTATGCTGCACGTGCTGAACGCTTTTCCCTTCTCCTAGGAAAGCGATATAGGTTCCTAGGAACACAAGGGTCCTTCAGGATATCTCACGGACTTGTATAATAGAGACCAATGTTACTTAAGCGCTTTTATAGCCAATAGGTGTCTAACTTTACCAACGGCTGAAGGCTGCTAGGTTCCTGGGAATAGAAGTCTGGTCCCTGGGGTTTAAGTATAGGCTCCTAGGACTGTATGCGCTCCCAGGAATACCCGTGTCGTTCCCGGGGCCACCCTTCCGGTGTCCAGGAATATATATTCAGGCTCTAGGAGACCGAGTGCTTCTGGGAGCTCAACCGTCTGCCCGGTAATCCAAGGGCCTCTAGATTATCGCCACCTATATCACTACACAACCTTATGTATAACGGATTCTTGTAGCAGAGAGGGGTTACTATAAAGACTTAAATAAATTCCTAGTGGTACTTTTTTCAATCGCTATCACCACCTTTATACAATCTTTACCTCACGTCCACGTACTACGCTCAAGATGTCAGACTCCCAATGGCTTTGGGATCCCTTGAGTATCTGTGAAATGGGGCCCCTTAGGGTAACTAAGACCTGTTGTGGTATTACCAAGAAAGGAGATGCTTGCAAGCTGATCGTGAAGAAAGAGACCCTCAAAGAAGGTCGCCACAAGTTGAACAACCTAGCACGACGCCCATTTGTTCTTTCTACACTTGACTCCCAGCTAAGCGACCTTGTGTCACTCTTCCTCTGCAAACAATGGCATCGAGAGCGTCAGCACATTGATGTTAAACAGCGGTGGTTCGATGCAGCCGTGCGTAATCAGGCCGATGCACAAGAAGCCCCACGCCAGCGTTTTCCACAAATTATCCCGGAAGAAATCGACGGATCGCAACAGGAACCAGCCAGCACAGCCTTAGAGATAGATGAGTTTGCTCCTATATAGGGTGTTGATACGGCTTTCCCAAGGCTTCCTGCGTCCACATGGCTAGAGGTGTCTCGGCCTCCTGGTCGGGATATTACACCGGGTATGCTCACAATGAATCGCGTGCCGTGGGATATTTCACGGGATACTCCAGCCATTTTATCTATCCAAAATGAATACGGTGGACTGCACTCCCTCCAGATTCACATCGTTCGCCAAGAGTCCTGTCCAGATGGTGAGAGGTGCCCAATTTGCTTCGAGGGCGATAGCGACGATCTCGTTATGTTGCAATGCGGTATATGTAAGGGGGTGGTTCATCTGGGGTGTATAGAGGGCTGGCTCGTCCATCGTTTACCAGGAAACAACACCTCTTGCCCAATACAGTACGTAACTTATCACCCTCTAATCCCCCAGTCCGTTCACTAATACAGATACAGTCGATGTCATGGATCGTTCAGCGCTCTCTTACGCTCGTCGGCCGTTGAAAATACTACTGGCGAGTCGACAGCAGAAACACCTCTCGATACCGCAAACACACTAGTAGAAGAGATGAACGCTCCAACAGTACCTCCGCAGCGTCGGTCGACCCAGACTACCCGGCGTTCAGACCGTCTTCGGGTCTCATCAAGCTCATCTATTATCCGTCGATCACCTCGATCGAGACGGGTTCCCGACCGCTTCCTACCCTAGGTGTATATTCTACATAGACGAAAGCTAGTTTACGAATGCACGAGATCAATTAATTCCACAGGATCAGATTTACCGTGGGGCTATGCGCAACGTGTTTGGCACCATTCCTGAGTAAAGACAACCGGTTTATGTTTAGAAAGGTTTTAGGATACATTGGACCAGTTAGATTTTGCGGGGTAGTCTATAAACAGATATGGTTAGACCTTTCTAGGGCCGGTTTTACCGCGGTGATCGTTTTTCTAACGCAGCTTTGAACGCTTAACCTAATAAAGCTAGACAGCCATAAACAGCCACGCTCGGCTCGATAGGTCAGTGTCTAGCTAGCACTGCAGCGAGGCAGCTATCCCCTTATATCTCTGTGGCCTTATTATATAAATAGGAATTGTCTGAACGTCTCTGTGTACAAATTTTCCCACTACTCAATGTTGACCCCTTAAGCTATACCAAGTCTATTATATTCTATGCAGGATGGATCCTATAAAGCGCCAGCCCTCTCGACCTGAGCCTTTGTGGCGTGATGGAACGCCAGATTGGGCCGCTTTGGAAAGAACATCTCGTCCTTCTGCGCTGTCTTCCAGGCCCCAGCCCGGTCCAGTGATAATCCCATCTACTCTGCCTCTTTCTCATCCTACGCAGCAGAAAAGCCAAATTGAAGTTCGGACTATTCAGCCGGTCTTCCAAAATCCGTGGTTGACTTACGAGGCGATCGTGGTGATCTCTCAAGGACAGTCTGTCTTTCTGGCGCGACACAGAAAAGACAAAGCGACACTCGTCGATATCCATCTTTCAAAGCAGCAATTCTCATCCGTGAAACCATTGCTGGAAACAATCAGCCAAATATCACACCCCAGCTTTCTAGGTCTAGTGGGGTGCTATTGTTGGGAGGAGCAGGTATTTCTGGTCCGGGAGCCAGTAGAGCTCTCGGTAAGTCACATCCTCGCATCAAGATGCACTATCACTGAGGATGAAATTGCTGCAATTGTTCGGCCGGTACGTACTACTGTCAACGGTTGACGCGAGAAAGTAAACGGTGCTTATGCCCGATAGGTCCTCGGAGGAATTCAATATCTGCGCGGTCACGGGAGAGCACTCGCTGCCTTGAATGCCGATACTATTCTACTCACGGAACTCGGTGGGGTCAGGATCGGTGAGTAAATATCTGAGTATAACTGGCGGGCTATATAAGCATGAGATTCTGATAGTTGGCTATGTCGCAGCGGGAGTGGAGCATAGTTGCCAAATCAATGCAGCCGAGATGGACGCAGCCACTATGAAGCTGTTTGCCTTATCTGAGGTAGTGGAGAGGCTGATCATGAAGAATCCTTCACAATATCTATGGAGCGTCGAGATAAAAAATCTGCCTGGAGAGCTGAAAAAATGCGATTCACCGGAAAAGCTGCTACGCGTAAGCCTTGGCCTCCCAGCCCTGCGCGTTATATACTGACCAAACAGAACAAATTGTTCGAGCAATTGGGGGATGAGGGCGAACTGAAGATGCTGGTGAATGCGGCCAACAAGACTGCTTACCACAATCTAGAGTCATACAAGCGTATATGAACGTGGTGATGCGTAAATGCGGCGGGAATCCGTACCTCTTACCGTTTGGCAGGTGAGAAGACACAATTGAAGGTACTATACGTTTTGTACTGCAGATAGTACAGAATTTGGAGGCAATCCGCAGCCCTATTTGAGGATATAGCTTGCGGGGGCTTTTTTGAAATACAGCTATATATTATCTATATTACACTAACGAAGTGATTGTCACTAAACACTGACACAAAGTGGTTGAAAATAGTCAGATATAGGCAAATCTCACCCGCTTTGTTCGTAGCTGAACTTGGCTTTGTCCGTAGGATAAGCTGCCCTCGTATATCGATTTTCCATTTTCAGCAAATACACTATCCACCGAAGATATCTCAGGGGAAACAGCTTTTATATGATCTAGGAGCAGATATTTGATGAATTCACCGCGCCTAACGCATGACTGGATCCATGGCGATATTCCGTATCGGTCCATGGTATTGGGATTGGCGCCTCTTGAGAGTAGTAGGCTCACTAAGTCTCTGTTACCTCTAAAGACGGTAAGCCAGAGTACTGTTTGACCCTCGCGATTTGGAATATCGATTTTGACACAAGGCTGTTGAAGGAGCTGATTCACAACCGCAGATGATGTAATCCTGCCGGGACGGTAGGTTTACTTAGGCCGCTAGTTACACGGGTTTTGATCCCTGCACCCCAAAAATCTCTATTTGCACCCCAATTATATAATCATATGATTATATAATTAATTATCATCGGAACAAACAGGGTAAAGGTCACATGACTATCAATCTATCTATCAATCTCCTATAGTAACCATTGTTTACTACGTATATAAATACTACTCTCCCCTTCTTTTATCTCTTTACCGCTCTGATAAATTTACAACCAATCAAACGCTGCAAAAATAGCTGCAATTATAGTGTAAATAGAGACCTTTCAACTGTTTTTAATACAGTTGATAAGGCCATTATATAGCAGCAAGCAGGGATCCAGATTCAGATCAAATCTGATAAGATCCTCATAAACTAGCCTGATTGGGTAGTGTTCCGGATATTTTACTCGCTCTATAGGGCTTCTATACAAACACCACTTATCTGATCTTATCTGATCAAACAAGCCAATTGGATTCCGTGATATCGATATCTTTTGGTATATCAGAGTAATTCTAAGCGCTTAATTGGTCCTAATCCTCCCTCTAAGGATACCGCAGCTAAAACGGGACGTAAATTGCCTATTTAGGCAGCAGGAGCACCCAAAGAAGAAGCAGAAGGCGCCGAGCAAGTGCTCGAGCTGTGGGGAGAGCAATCATATGTTTGTCAGCTGCCTAATGCTGAATAATTGAGAGTTTTTGTATTTTTGTACAGTAAATCTGATAGATGAGGTTGATAATCATGTGATTTTGCTCCTGTTTATTCCGATAATTGTATTATGTAATCTAGCTGATTATCTAATGGGGTGCAAATGGAGATTTTTGGGGTGCAGGGATCAAAACCCTAAGTGATTACATAAGATCATTTAACCGCTAGGCCAAAAGATCATAAGGACAAACGTTTGTCATTGCAGCGGTATATATATTAGGCCCTAGACTCTGCTTGGGACCACAATGACTCTTTCGCCACACTCAACCACAGAGCACTCTCGCCAACTGCGTTTCTCCTACTCACGTGCAAATTTTTCTTACGCAGCAAGAGATTGGTAACCAGCTCCGAGCCATATTTCGCGGCCGTCATAAGGGGAGAGAGACCATCGTGCAGCGTATTCACGTCGGCCCGGTAAGAAAGCAAGGTCTTTGCAACAGCGCGATTGTTGTTTTTAGCGGCCCAGTGAAGCGCAGAACTGTTTTGGTGCCTGATATTATATTTGATCAGGGCTAGGCGTAGCTTGGGATAGAGGGTTGAAGGAGACACAACGTGCTGCTCAGATGATTTTTATCAGTTCCAAGGTGACGGCAATAAATAGGGATGAAAGTAATGTAACTAAGTTGTTCAGCGTTTTTTTGAATTAAGAACCTGGTAAAGGCGAGATACGTGGGAGGGGAGAAGCTTAAATAACACTCGTGGTCACCGGCCAAGCATCAGTTTCCCCCTACCTGCTGACGTAGCAATCGACTAGCGGTCCTAGGTAGACCTGGCAGTGACCCTCCATTTGGACCCGCCAAGGCGCTAAGGAGGGTCTAAAGTCAGGATCCTAGACCCGCCAAGAAAATTATGTATACATAACCTATCCTAAATAGGAAATATTATGCTTATAAACCTTGTTTTATGTATATTTATGTAGAACTCCAGGTCTTGGCGGGTCGCTGGACCCTCGGAGGGTCCAAGGTTATGGACCACCCGGAGGGTCACTGCCAGGTCTAGTCCTAGGAACGCTGTCTAGGGTTCTAGGATTGCTGCTCGGTTCTATAGAGACCAAATCTATAGGAGATAGACTTTATGAGGTTGCGAGGATTGGGAATCTACGACAATTAAAAGAAGATCCAGACTTAGCCCAGCTAAACTGAAAGAACAGCACCAAATGACATGTTCTAGGTACCAGGCTATGACGTTACAGACTCAATTGAAAGCAAATTTCCTTCCAAATAATACCCCAATATAAGCGTCAGTAACAAGGACTTAAAGGCGATCAAACGCACTGATTCCGTATCAAAGTCTTTATCTATAGGAACATCGAAATATACTTTGGTCACGCGTAATCCCTTCAATTCCTACTGGTGTGGTCCCTAACGGAAGTTAGGACCTAATATATACCGCTGCAGTGACAAACACACGTTCTGTTTGTCCCTATGATCTTTTGGCCTAGCGGCAAAATGCTCTTATGTAATCCCTTAGGAGTTGCGGCCTAAGCGGTGCTTAGGATTACAGTTCTTCTCGTCCACGGAAACGATAAATTACTTGCCCGAACCGGGGGTTCGCTGACGGAGCCTCAAACGGTCGAATCGACCTACCCGATAAGCTATAGATATTGAAAGACAAGTGTCGTGCTTAATGACCGAGAATAAACACAAGCAACGAAGAATATGATCAGGTACAAATCTTGTGGGCGTGGATATTAGAGTATGCCAGTCAGAGCGCAACTTATCAGTAAAAATTGTCCCATTCCCACGCTCAATAGGCATAGAATGTGAAGGAATGATGAACTTTTCAATAGTAGGCAGTATGTCGTGTCGTCACGTCACGTGACAGGCAAGCTGCGGAAGAAAGTCACAAAAATACGAGCGGTTTATTGGCGGATTGAAGCATGGTTATTAGCTGGGAAACAATAGCACACCCTTGAGCTAACTAATGCGTGGCTGCTCAAATTACCATTCATTTCCGGTCTGACGCTGACGCTATCTCAGATGGCTTGGTGAAAAATTCGGATTTGGTATAGCTCTTCATGTGATGTAACAAACCCCGCATTTTGAAGTATAACAACACATACTTTTTGAGGTTTGATAAAAAAACAGCGGCCTGAGTAGGTTAGATGTCTGACTCGGCTCCGAATCATTTTCGTAGACCCCACTGTCTGAGGGCTCCATGGTAGATAACTTCCGCTTGGCTAATTCTTGCCGAAAATCACCCACCACAGATAGGTTGCTAGAGACACAGTTCACTTGTTCGGTGCAGGCACGGATGGGGTCACACAGGGTGTGCAAGAGAGTTGAGAAGTCTCCATTTCTTTGGAATTAGGAACAGCGTCTATAATAAAAAAGTCAGACAATAAGAGGATGATGGCCGACTTTCAATGTGTTGTGCCAACTTACCCGGTAGATCATCTCCTCGCATGTCAGGAGGAATAGGGTCTAGGTGATTTAACCCTGCAGGACACGGGATTGTTTTCGCGGAGTGTGTCGATAGCACTGGCTCTGAGAAAGCCAGCGCGGAACTTCCACGATCCAACAGAATGTCACAGGCAGGTGGTATATCTGTTGTCACTGAGGGTCCGACATCTTTCGTCATTTCAGTCTGAGTGGGTCAATAGACATGATTGATCTCGAAGTCAAATATGTTGCACTCATGAGTTGTACTGGTCAGTGGCGGTGACTGTCCTAGGGGTACCTCACACGGTCCTAGACAGAAGCCGAACCGAGTGGGAAAAGACTGCTGGAGGTATCGTGGGACATGAGCTGAGGCGTGGTTGGGGGGCACGCTTTTTTCACTGGTAGAAAGCGGCGGGCGACTTGGGCCCAGGTAGAACTCGATTTGATCAAGATCCACCCTCATTTCCCAGAAAGTGATAAGACACAGCGGAGACACAGCGGAGGTAGAAACCAACAGATAATGAAGCAAGCTTGAATAAGAGTGCAGCGGTCACTGGTGGGCTGGTGTGTCTACGTCCGTTCTGAATCATATCCAAAGAATGGGAAAAGGAGGTCAGTCATCCTTTTTAATACCCAGGCGCCGCCAGGCATTACTACCTGAGGAATCATGCAGTATATCGCCTTGCCAACCCCACACAACCGAGAACTGCGACAGCACTGCCTCGTTGATGCTATTCGCTGCTTGCGTCGGGCGATCACTTGAGAGTACTCCGGACTAATCTAGCCAGCCGGCCTCGTCAAAGGGCGCCTTGGGTTCGTAGTAGCCACCGTGTAACGTTGCAGCCTCCAGGACACCTCAGCTAACATTTGATGGATTGGGAAGATATTGACAAGAAAAAATCCCTCAATCCGAGCAGCAGCCTACAATTCGCCGATCACGCAAGCCGATCATACAAGCCATCAATTTCATGGATATTTGCGATGTCTCAGCTCAGCGTCAGAGCTCCTTGAGGCATTTTTGCGGTTGGATAGAGAGCGGAAGCGGGTCCAGCGAGCGGCTCACCTTCAATCAGGCGTCGTCTGAAAGAGCAGAGGTGGGCATTCTACGGTGTGCTGCGTGGCATTCGCAGACCGAAGCCTGAGACAAAGAGCAGCCAGTAGTCCTCCTGCATTCCACTTCAAATGTCCAGTTATCAAGCAGACCGAGGGTGATGTCTACAACGGTTGAAACAGCGACCCTGTGTAGCGTACATTATGAAACTAATAATGTATTGAGCCATGTAGAACTGGGAAATCAAGGGCGATCCGGGTGACTCGCATGGCCAGAGCGACCCGTTCGAATTTCCGTGAGTGGGGAAGCAGGCTGTGTTCGGGGCGCAGAGTTTTCAGTTGACAGGGGCCACGTCAGCGGATCAGGGAATGATGCCGGCGAAACAAAATGGAGGGGAAGGGGGGAAAGGGGTGTGGGAAAGAAGAGAATCATGGTCGAGCGACGCACCGCGGGTTATATAGATGGCGGACGTCGCGAGACGGGCGGTGCGAGACGGCAGATCCCGATCGGGGCTAGCATAAGGCGCCAAACCCGTTGCGGATGGGCTAAACCAGAAGTGGACAAGCGCGATCCCCAATCGGGCGTCGGTCCCACAGGCGCTAAACCCCAAGAGGGAGGGCGCCGAAACAGGCCGCGGGCCAGCAAATCGCTATTCTACACTCTTGAGACTTGATTCGCGAACCCCTAACCTGAAACACGCTAGCCCATATTTGGAATAGTGGTCGATCTATGATTTCCAAGAATAGACACTGTATTTTACATAACGCAGGTGGGATTCTGCCTTGTGTATCTTACTCGAAGATGCCATACAATGTAATTCTCTGCCATACATACCGTCCACGCCAAGTAGGAGCGAGCCATCTTCGCCCGTTTATCTCTCTTAAATTTCATAATTAACCTCATAATTAACCTTACAAATGGCTCTAAGACTCTCACCATCCAAGCTGCATCTCATCCGCAATATGATAGAAAGTCACCCACTTAGCACATCTAAAATAACCGACGAAGCAGAATGCAGCTAGGCTACGATTATCAATATCCGCACAAACTTGCGGCAATTTGGCAGTTTGCACGCGCCCTAACTCAAATAGGGCGGAAACGGAGTGTGAAAACACTGATGATCAAAGCCCTCTGCGATCGACTTTCTAAAAAGCCCGGTTTGTACCTAAATAAGATAGCTCTTTTCCTCTAGAATGAATTCCGCACCTTAGTAAAAAAAATGTCTAGTATCGGAAGAGCCCTTTCCTGCCAGTTTCATATTATTAATTGAAGGGGGCGAAGCCTTACTCTCGAAAGTGTTACTCTACGCAAGGTAATGTTTTTCACTTAATAAAAAAGAGTTGATTGAAAACGGCTGTTTACCCAAGCTGGATTTCGATCAGACAATGATCTAGGATTGATATTATTGGACAACCTTTTGGATCCGCTTGGATATACATAACATTGCCCCAAAAAGTTGAGCCTGAGTCTCACGTAATTCCCCCTTTGGGGGAAATTTGGGAACACGGAGGGGCCCGCAGATACCGCGAGGATCCGCCGGCCATTGGCCAGAAAGCGCTATAGCGCGCCCGAAGAGGTTAGTACTGGGTACCGTACGGTAACGGGAGTGTACTGCCACCGGCGTCAGGGCGGTCAAAGGTTGACCGCTTTCCTAATAGCGTAGAATGCGCTAAAAAGCTCGGCGAGCCTGGGAAGCCTGGTAATTTACCTGAATAGGTAATTCTTGGCACTCGGTGCTAGTGTGACTACGTCACATGTGATAACAGGTGAGATGCTCTCTAGACCTAAGGCTATGTGTCTATAAATGCAGAGCATACCCCCGGGGGTTGAATTATAAGTTCCTATTGTGGATACACAGTCCCTGGGAACCAGTGGTACGACTCCCGTGTTATTCTCAATATTCGAAGAATTGTTGAACAAAATGGTTGCATTTGTTAAATTTCGTTTGGATCGAAACGGTAAACGTCTTTTAACGGAGTTTGGCGCGATGTTGCAGCGACTGACAGAAAGAGCCAGTTCAACTGCCCCGACCCGGAGACTTGACTAGTGTCACCAGAGGATCGAACAAGCGGAAGCGTGCGACTCTTGAAGCTGAGTACGACGAAGACCCTGAATCTTTTCAGTTACGTGATCCTGATCTTGCTGTTAGGATCGAAGCCAAACGCCTACGGCAAGAGTTCTTTGAGCACGATGAATATGATTTGCGGAAGATGGATCGCCCTTGGCAGATCCAATTATGCAAAGAGCTTGAAGAAGCTCCTGATGATCGTACGATCCACTGGGTGTACGGGCCCGAGGGTAATGAGGGCAAATCTACATTTGTCAAGTGTCTTATGAAGAAAGGCTGGGTTATGGTCAATGCCGGTGCGGCAGCTGATATGAAAGATCATTATATTCAGCAAGGAATGACCAAGAATATGGTCGTTGATATTCCTCGCTATGTGCAAGGAGTGGAGTATTCCGGTGTCTACTCGCTTGTGGAAGAAGTTAAGAATCGGTTGATCGCGTCTACGAAGTACCGACTGGAACAGGTCGTTGATGTTAGCAGAGTACATGTTGTTGTGATGTCCAACAAGAAGCCGGATATGGAGATGCTCAGCAAGGATAGAATATGTTTACATGATTTGTCACCTCAGAGTGTTGAGCTTGATTGTGGTGATAGGCCACACAGTTGTTAGATATATATATTTGCACCCGGGTTGCTTGCACCCGGGATTTACTGAACCACTTGTCTAACAAACCAATAACCTCAAAATCAAGCACTTGGATGAAGCAACCAGCTGTTGGAGCGGATTATGAGTTGTTTTCCCAAATTGCAGGCTCTTCGGGCTGGGAGAGGAAATCGTCATGATATGGGCTCTGTGTCATCTCTACAGTACGATGGCAGTACTGGGAGGGTCCATAGCTTCCCTAAGTACCGAGTTTCCTTCGGACTTGGTAACAAATGAGAATCGCAGTGGTTTACAGAAGCCAAAGCTTGAGGGAAACAAGTTGCGTACCAGGATAAGTTCTCTATGGCATCACTACAGCCTTCTTTTGGATGCAAAAGAGTGTGGGCGAAGGCTGCGCGTGACAAAGATATGAGAATGAAAGATCTTGCCACATTGATAGGATCTTCTTTTTGTTTGATCTGTTTGCACGATGGATTCTATCGGTTGATACAAGAAATTACGGTACTATAATAATGACTTATTGTGGTTACCAGTGAATATAATACAGCCCTACATGGATTGACAGGGGAAGAGCTAAAATTAGATTAGCGTGTCTCCACTTAGGGTCCGGGAATGAAATCGGAAGAGTTTAGAGTTAAAACTGATTTCGAATTCCACTGTATTGGTGTACTCAAAGTTTAGAACGATCGATCGGCCGGTGACTTGGCCATTTTGCCAGGAGATGCGTTTCCCAGACATTAGTCTTTGCTGTTGAACTTGAACACATCAAAGCCGTTTCGGAGCTGTATCACCACAATGTTGCAATTTCGGTGTGCGACGATAGCAAGCCTGTGATAGCCCACCAATGCAGCCCTTGACCCTATGTCCCTAGGATTCGTTGCCTACCACGTGGGCCGAATAAGCCAAATGCTCGCCGACTGGACTTCCAGCACTTCGTACCGCGTAAAACGATATGATCATCCAGACCATGATGATGAGTAGTTGGAGCTGTAAAAGTTAGAGAGGGCAGCAAAAAATGATATTTGCCACCGAGAGGGTGAGGATTTACCTCCAGCAATAACAGCCAACAGGAAAGAGCAACCCCCAAGACTGCAATTAGAAGAAGAACAGCTGCCACTCCAACTGTGCAATACAAAGCGCAACGCAGTTGCACTCGAGTCCTGGTATGGGCCATTGTATAACCATCCAGCCACCACAAGAGAGAACCCAACCCCAGGTGATCCAAAAAGAGAAGGAAGAGTACAACGACTCGCAGTGGGCGATCAAAGTAAGTACCAACTACCGTGGCCGTAATCTTTGTCAAGCACGAGAAAAGTGCAAATAGCGGAAAACAGATCATCAACTGATATGGCGCACTAGGGAGGCTTCGCAGGAAAATGCTTATTCGGAGATACTGATGTTTGGTAGTTAACATACAACCGAGAAACAACGTGATAGCACGTACCACGAGTAAAGAGGGAAATAAACTGGTTACCCCCAATATCACTTCTCTCCCTGTCTCACATTTTCTGCTCCAGCTCAGTCCCATGTGCACTGCCAGTAGAAAAATCTTCGGCGCAAACACGGCAAGGTCGAGTTTCTGGTGTAATGAGGTTTTCTGAACTGCTCGACGAGACCACACGAGAAGGAAAAAGCTAGCTAGTAGCAACGCCGTGGCCAGCAGTGCATGTAATGTAGTTGGAATCTGCATGACTGTCTTGTGGTTAACGTGCAAGAACAAAGGGGACTTCAGCTGACTTTATGCCCGGATTGCCAGCTACGGTGCTTACTAGATTTGCTCTATGATGTGGGTTCCAACGTCACGAAGCGAGCTATCTTGCGTTACCTTAATAGAATGGCTTAAGTTCAATAACTCTGTTATGTGCTCTCTATTCGTCGCTAGAAATCCCTAGACGACATTGTCTCTCCCAGGAACCACCGAGTCCCCCGGAGCCTGATATAAGCTCCTAGGAACCGAATGAATGTTCCCAGGAACGCCACGAGTAATTCCAGGAGTCCCTGAGCCCCCGGGAACTTAGAATTGGGTCCCAGGAGCGAAGGGTTGGTAAATGACTGTTTAGAATCTATAAGACAGTGCTCTGTGTTCGAGTTCGACAATGAACTATCCATGACGGGGCAATCTATAAAGCCACGACTACACCCCATCTACTGAACCATTATTACTCTACGGAAAGCATATCTCTTATCGAATCAGTGGGTTCCTTTGTTCCTTTCCGAAATAGAACTGACCACCAACACAATCATCGTATGATAGTCGTTACTTCCAAGAAGCAATACTTATTCACCAAGGCTGACAGACTAATATTGAAATGCAGCCTATCAAGTTAGACGCCACTATCCTGGACTTGCCGACCGAGGTTCTTTGGGTGATAGCCGACAGTCTACGGGGACACGAAATTTCTGCTCTTGCTCGAACCAGCCGAATACTCTATGCCAAGCTCCGGTTCCCCTAATAAAATACAACGTCAGACATCAGAATAGCTCTGCGCTTCACTGGGCTGCGAAATCCAACAATACCGACTTTGCAAAGACTTTACTCTCATACCGAGCCAACGTGAACGTGTTGATTGAAAATTTCTCTCCTTTGATGACAGCCGTACGTTACGGGTCCAAATCGACGTTTAACTTTTTCTGAAAAATTCAAAAACAATCATCAACCTCAGGAATGCGGCTGGAAAAGTACCCTGTGGTACAGCGTGGAAAAAGGGTCATATTCTATCGTGAAGAAGCTCCTCCAACGCCCTGATATCAATAATCGATCTTTTGGATTACCAGGCTCTGGCTTGCCATCTTTCAAAAAAACAAAAAAAAAACAAAGAATTGGTGCGTTTGCTGCTCTCAAAAGGCGCTGATCCCCATACGAAGGATCGGGACGGTGTTTCGCCATGGATGGCAGCCTTCAGCAGGGCACTCATGCTAGATGTGCTCCTGGAACATTTTGATACTTTGCGCCCCGAATCGAAGAGCAAGATCTGCATTAGCAATCCAGAAACGATTCATGGTGCCGCAAGCAAAGGAGACTCTGGCATGTTGCGAAAGCTGCTCCGCCGTGGAGGAGAGGTTAATGCAGTGGACGGCCAAAGAAGAACAGCTTTGCATCTTGCAGCGAGTAATTGGCACGAGAGGCTGCCTAGCTACTACTCAACCACAAATCCATTGATCTGGCTGCGCTGGATCAAAGAAACGGCACGCCGCTCCACGCAGCTGCGATGGGTGGAAATCTCGCAGTGGTAGATTTGTTGCTGCATCAAAACGCTCCCGTAAACTGCAAGGATAATCATGGAAATACCCCGCTGTGGTATTCGACTTCTAGTTATCGCGACGATGTCACAGAGAGACTTCTGACTGAAAATGACGTGGATTTCAATACAGTCGGAGGAGGGGGGGGATATGATGAGCCTTCTACTTCACTACACTATCTGGCAAGAAGAACGGACACAGTTATTCTACGATGGTTCCTTGTAAGGCCGGCTCTCGACCCAAATATCTGCGCGGGCTTTCGATCACCTCTCCACCTAGCTATAACGGAGGGTAACATTGCGGTTGTGAGATTGCTTCTTACTCACAAAGAGCTTGGAATCAATGCTCGATACACACTTGAAGATTCCACGCTCCGTTTAGCCACCGAAAGAGGTGATGTTGATGCGGTGAAATAATTGGTGGAACAAGGTGATCGATTGAAGATCAACCAGCTGAACAGCATTGATGAGGCGAGTGCGCGTTTCGTGGCTGTCCGTAATGAACTTAGCGTTGTCGGCGTTAGCGGGGTTCCGGAAGTATTCCTCTGATGTGTGAGCGGCCTTTCGCTGGTGGAAAGTACAAAAATGCTTTGGTTTAGCGTCTTTGGCTGGTCTGTGAACCGCGTTTGCGTTGTAAAAGACGGGATCGGAGTTGAAATTAGGATGACTCGCGAGACGTCGATTCTCGGAGATAACGAAGTCAGAGAATGTACTGATCAGAACTTGTTCGGAAGGATTATTGACTGAGGGCCGAAGGCTGTTGAGCCACGGATAAGTAGCGGGAGCGTTAAGAGCAGTATTGATGTAAGGCTTAAGCGAAGCGTGGACAGTAGCGTGAAGGTACGAAAGAAGGTGACGAGAGTGACGGAGCCACTCTGTAAAGGCTGGATCGTCGGAAGCTGGCTGAGCGATCTTGCTGGTAAGGATGTCGAAAAGACGAGGGTCTTTAGTATCGAGCGCGCACTTGAGTGCGGTGGACTACGAAGCGAAGTTGGATTCGCCTGTAAGGGTAGGAACGAGCTCTGAGAGCTTTGGCTCTGCGAATCTGGTGGTAGCTGAGGCCATTTTGAAAGGGTACTTCGAATAGAGAGGTACTCGGTGAGGCTGTACGTCGTAGGAGAGGCACTTGGCCGCGTGGATAGCGGATGAAAAGGGTGCGTCGTGGGAGAGGCACTTGACGTTTTTGTTTTGTTTGTGGGATGAAAACTCTGCGCGAGAAAAACCCTATGCTGATGAGATTGCTTGTATGTGACACCGTTTGTAGGTGTTTGTTGGTGGAGTGTGGCCTGGCCGGTTTGTCGATAGTGATGAGAAATGCGGCGTCGATGGAGAGGCCGATAAAAGATGAAAAATGCGGCGTCGATGGAGAGGCCGATGGGATGATGATGATTACGGCGTCGAAGCCGATGGAGAGAGATGATGGCGGCGTCGATGGAGAGGCTGATGGAGGATGATGCTGACGATGATAAGGAAGGTTGAATAGAGCTTCCCGGGCTCATAACCCGTCAGGAGAGGGCTACGTCGAAGTGCATGGTGGAATGTGAGTAGAGAGTTGTAGAAGCTAGGTTCTACGCTATGAAATCTGACATAAACCCTTAGCACTGTTTAACGGTCTTGCTTATCGGTAGGGCGCCTATCGAGCTGTAGGATCCCTGGGTCCTGTTGAACATCCCTTAGCCACCGCCCTCAAAAGCCCCGCCTTGCCGACACGCCCTCCGGAGAGCCCTATTATCTGTCCTCCAATAATAGCCTCTCCCCCCTTGTCCCACTCTGTGCTGCCTGTACCAACCCTCTGTTGTCCCAACCCTTCCAATATAACACACCCAGCGTGACTATAGCTCCTAAGACTAGGCGGGATAGGCACCGCCTAGATAAAATATATCCGAATGACCACCACACCGGTAGTTTGGTTACTTGAACATCCATATTTTATAATGGATCTTCCAGATAGAATAAACGCGCAACCAGGCTCATAGGCCATAAATCACCCCCTGCACATGCCTGAATTAATGGCAGAAAAATAACAGCAAAAAGAAATGGCATTTCACTCAATGTTTCTGTGTTACGTAGCTCGTAGAATAAACCCGTTCAACTGCCCTGAGTTCCCGCCCCTTTTTGACAGGTTGACGGGTACCACGTGTAGCTAATTTCGAGAGTAACTTCCAATGCAGTGCGCTGGGTCATTCCTTGAAGTGACCAGAAATTTGACCAGGGACTCCGTCCGCAAATCTCTTGCCCGCTCGTATAATTCGTTTTATTCTGTGACTTGAAGGCTCCCGCGTCATTGCCGCCCCAAGGTCGACCTTTTCGTTAGAATGATACATACTACAAAAGTAAAAAAGAACCAAAAAGAAATATAGGCGGGAACCGGGATTACACTGCAATTTTTGAAAATCGACCTGATCAGACATCAATAAAAAACTACACCATTGACCCTCAGATTCTCGACCCGAGGAAGGGGGAGACGGTTCATATCTTTGAGGGAGTTTATGATCCCTGTATAGACCGACCGGTCATTGAAATTATCAACGTGTTTGGCGACGTCGAAGCCTAGATAGCTTAGTACCAAGGAACCAGCTCATAATTGTGTGCGTTATTACTAAAAAATAGTCGTGTAGGCTGTAGAGATAATAGAGACTTTGGATGCACAACGTTATATTATCCCATTAAGGCATTTTTGATTTGGCCTTTTCAATAATTCAAATATCTGATCCTCGATACATAAGTCTATTTCCGTCAAGTCTAGAGAATATTGCTCGCCGAACTGACCTTGTGGCACCGAACATACGTGGTCAAGGAGCAGGCTTGAACGTTTGACCATGATTTTAACATAAACATAAACCACCCCTGTTCTCTATAGTAGATTGTTCAATATCTCTTAGGTGGGAACCGGGATTACACCGCACTCTTTGAAAAATCGACTCAAAGCAATTTCGTGATCAGGCATCAATAAGGAACCTTCACCGTTAATCCTCAGAATCTCACGCCCGAGGAAGGGGAGGCCGATGCATATCTTTGAGGGAGTTTATGATCCCTGTGTAGACCGACCGGTCATTGACATTACCAACGCGTTTGGAGACGCCGAAGCCCAGATATAAAAAACTACGGTAGTATTACCCAGCTATCAGCTGAGATATATTCAACCAGTAATCGATTCAGCTAAACCACTATTTGGAAGATCGGAGGTTGTATTTGATAATACAACTCTGCGTGGTTTACCTTAGCCGATTTAATATCCGATTTCATCCCAATTGAATATCTTATAAGATCAGAAATTATACTCTTCTATAACCTGAGAAAAATAATAAAACTATAGATAAAACTGGCTAGTTCGCTGGCCGGTCCATTCAAACTCTGTTCCTTTGTTAACCATGCAATCTATGGACAGACTCGCACTGATGATCGCTATGGGCCTGGCCACAGCTAGGCCTCTGCAAAGCCCATAAATGGGCCGGGCTTCGAGGGCCCAACCCACGGCCCATTGATGGGGGCCCATAAGGCCCCCATCAAAGCCCATTTTACTGCATAAATACTATCTTGGCATACATAAAGTAGCTGATTAATGACTGTATTTTACGTATGTTCCAAGCTGTATACAGTAGAATTCGAAATCAGTTTTAACTCTAAACTCTTACTTTTTACGTCCCGGACCCTAAGTGGAGACACGCTAATCTAATTTTAGCTCTTCCCCTGTTAGTCCATGTAGGACATCCGATCACATCATCTAGACTGATTAACTACAATGCCCAACACAATGCGCACGGAAAACTGCGATTTTATCTAATGGCTATCCTGTATATAATATTGACCCGTACTATCCCCTTGAGGAGTATCTCACCGCTTCGCATTACCTCCAGGACAATGTCTACCTATCCAAATAGGGTCTAGATAGACCAACACCTCTATATTTCTACTATTGACGCCGAGCCACTTTATCGCTATCGACAAGGCGGTTACCATCCAGTAACTTTGGGGGAATACTTGAAGGCTGGAAGGTATAAGGTGTTATATAAACTAGGGTGGGGAGGCTACTCGACAGTTTAGGCGGTAAGAGATCAAAGGTTATACAAGCTGGTGTGACTCGCGGTAGTTCTAGCTAACTTAAAAGCTGCTTGTTTACAGGGAACAGACGTATATTGCTGTCAAAATTTCTACTGCAGCAACTGAATATAATAGGGATACGCGAGAGCTCTAAACCTTGAAAGTGCTTGTATCTTATCATCCTCGTCCGAAATATACGGTGTATATACTCGATAACTTCGATCTAAAGGGCCCAAACGGATCTTATAAATACCTAGTTCATAAGCTTCTAGGCCCCAACGTTCTAGATATAATTGATGCAAACTTTCCAGATAGGAGACTTCCTGGTAAGCTCGCTAAAACTATTGCAAAGCAATGTTTGATCGGACTCGATAGTTTGCGCCAACGAAAGATTGGCTATGGAGGTAAACACTTTCTTTGAAATACTTTGGACAGTGCTCACTTATTATAGATCTGTATACCCGCAATTTGGCCTTCGCTATACTATATATAGACAATTTGACTGAAGAAAGGTTTATTGAGATACTAGGAAAACCAGAATTTGGCTATATCCAAAAACGCGATAGGAAATACCTTGAAGCCGGCGTGCCCGAATATATTGTGAAACCTGCCTTATACGGGAATCACTCTTGGTATCTAGCTCAGGATATTAAAATAATCGACTTCGGAGAGTCATTCTTATACACTGCCCCCCCTGAAACACTGTATATACCTCTATCTCTTCGGGCACCGGAAGTTATATTTCAAGATAACATTGATTATCGTGTTGATTTGTGGAGTATAGGCTGTATAGTGGGTGAAATTATACTCGGGTAATATACAAAAACCTAAGCTAATAGGTTGGCAGCTCTTTGAACTGTTCGTGGGCCAGCCACCTTTCGATATATTCTTAATAACGCCCGCAATCCTTGTTGGCCAAATACGAGAGATGGCAACTGATGAACTACCTGAAAGATGGCAACATAAATGGAATACGATAAACACAGGGGACGTCATGGCCACAGAAAGCACCGGGCCCAACTTGCAGGAATAGCTGGAAGAAGTATACTTTGATAGCCCGCTGAGTCCCGATCTCACACGAGAGGACATAGTGAGGCTGGGACGAATCGTTGGAAGATTATTGCATTTTGAGCCGTCTGCAAGAGCGTCAGCGAAACAAGTTCTTGATGATCCTTGGTTTAATAAGTGACCCTATGACAAATAGTCATTACAACATGAAGGCGCGTGTGAATTTTGTCTTCATTCAATTGAACTGTACTGCGCCTGGCAAATTTCTGAGACTTCTTCAATTTTCAAGCCTACGTGCCGAAAATGACCTCTAGCACTCTCTTCTTTTGCACCGACCATATCAATACACTATCCAAGAAAGGTATCAAAGCCTTGATCGGGGTCTACTTCGTAATAGCCCCAGTTGCGTTTAATAAAGGCTTTGAGCTCAGCGAAAAACTCTTCAATCGGATTCAAGTCCGGCGAGTAGGGTGGTAGATAGACCAATTTTACCCCTATATCTATATATATCTGCGTTATCCGCTCTGAATAATAAAACGAGGCGTTGTCTATAACCAGAACGGATTTAGGTTCGGGCTATCTTCCGCAGTGCTGAAGAAGCTGCGCTATAAAGTCCTCGAACACGGTGGTATCTGTGGATAGACCTGGCAGTGACCCTCCATTTGGACCCGCCAAGGCGCTAAGGAGGGTCTAAACTCAGGATCCTAGACCCGCCAAGAAAATTATGTATACATAAACTATCCTAAATAGGAAATATTATGCTTATAAACCATGTTTTATGTATATTTATGTAGAACTCCAGGTCTTGGCGGGTCGCTGGACCCTCGGAGGGTCCAAGGTCATGGACCACCCGGAGGGTCACTGCCAGGTCTATCTGTGGACCCGCGGAAGATACGCGATAAAACGATTCTATCCTAGGAATATGCAGGCAGTATCTGATATCGCTGGTCGCGGTGAAATTGTGATACTTATATAGGGGACACACTAAGTGGTGACTAGCCTATACACCTAAACCCAACCCTTTTATTATATCCGGATTTATCTATATAAACCAGCTGATACGACTGAAAATCCGACAAATTATACAGATACTATTCTCGCAAATCGGTATTCCGCTCCCTCGCTTACTGCCGAGTGCTCTTTTTAGACTAATTGTTAGTAATAAGGGCTCGTCTGATACTAGAGGTTATAACTAGGGTGCGGAATTCGTCCCAGCGGAAAACAGCTATCTTATCGAGGTATAAACCGGGCTTTTTAGATAGGTGTTCGCAGAGGGCTTTAATCATCAGTGGCGTTACAGTCCGTTTCTGTCCTATTCGAGTTGGGGGGGTATATACACTTCCAAATTGCCGCAAGTTTACGCGAATAATTATAATCGTAGCCTGGCTGCATTCTGCTTCTTCAGCTATTTTAGATATACCAAGTGACTGGCTCTCTATTATATCGCGGATGAGATACAGCTTGGATAGTGGAAGTCTGGGAGCTATTTTGTGAGGTTGATTATAACGTTCTAGACAGATAGTCGGGTGAAGATACCTCCTGCTTGAGGTGGGTGGTTTGGCAGAGAATGACCATTGTATGGTATTTGCGAGTAAAATACACAAGACAGGGTCCTACCTTCGTTATATAAAATACAATATCTATTCTTGGAAATCACGGATCTACCACTATTCCAAATGTGAACTAGGTGTGTTAGATTAGGGTTCGCGAATCAAGTCGCAAGAGTGTGGAGTTAAAACTGATTTCGAATTCTACTGTACTCAGGGGACAGATAGAATGATCGCTTTTACCTTCAGAAAATAAAATGTACTTCTGTTAAATATATAAGCCCCTAATTAAAAAAAAGTACTTCTTGTAAAAAAGTAGAGTTATATGAAAATAGATTATGATTTTTGTTAATATCGCTGAGTCTGAGACTGTTAGAGAAAGATAAAGAAGAGGAAGAATATAATGATTTACGTATACGTAGCTTTATATACAGCTTGGATAGTAATATCAATACCCAAAAAAAACCAGTAAAAAATGCATTAATTATACAGTTGCGATAGGTTGGTATATTTGTATTGTTTGATAAATAATGGGGGCCCATTATGGGCCATTATGGGCCCTATGGGCTCAAGGTATAAGCCCATAACCCATCGATGGGCCCCAAGGATAGGCCCAAAGCTCAACCCATTAGTGGGTTGGGTTGGGCTGGGCTTTGGGCTTTTTGGGCTTTGCAGAGGCCTAGCCACAGCCGTAGCAGCGGTGCCGAGCCCAGTTCTCAATACCCAGTCTACCATAAATGTAGTCGATTCAACAGTCCTTTCGAGCACTTTCGCTGGCGAGCTTTAGATGCTCTTGATTCCTCTCCAACTCATCGCCTGGGAAAGTCCCAACTGTACTAGAGATTTCGGTGTCACACAATTCATCGACTCGGTTCTGCATGGAATATCTTCAACGCGCTGTCCCGCAGTTTCCAACTAAACCGTACATAGCTGGTCCAAGAGCAGCTAGATATACCCATAGGCGATAGCTACTCCGATAAAGCAGAGTTGGCTTACGAAATTTCCTCCTATAGCAACTGTTGGAGTGGAAGTCCTACATGTCATAACACGCCCCGTTTACATGTCACCGGTTGTGGGAAACCTAGAGCTGCCCACAAATGAAAAGATAACCACGAAAGACAGTAAATGTCATTCAGTAAACGCGATGGTTACCTATATTTTGTTCTATTGAGATTATCATCCAAAAATCTGCAACTCTGAATCGCCCCTCCGTCTGCGACAAAACTATAACTAAAAGGATCCGCCCTATGATAACAGACTATCCAAAAGCCAGAGCATTTATATGCCTCAGTTCCCAACAATATTCTGCACAAAGAATTGTGGATCAAAAGATGCTATGGGCAGAGAGGGGTGGATGCAAGATAGAGGAATCGCGCTCCGTATGCCAGGGTCTGCTGCAATCTCCATCCGCGGCCGCAATGACAATTGAAATCGAGTTTCCCCAGCACTTCCCATGTAGCCACTCCGCGAGATGATATCACGTATCTGACCACGCGCTCTGCCTAAATTTCCTAAAATCGATTCAACCCGTGGAAGAAAGAACGGATACTCTTCCACAATCTCTTCGGTCCCCGGGCTGAGCTTGCTGAGCCGGATTTCTATCCAGTGCACCCGTTCAAAAAGAAAGAATGCCGACACGTAGAGTAAAATATCATCGGCGCAGGTGTCTGGGGATAACGGATCTGGCCCAGTCCAGTTAAAGGCGCACTCGCTCTCATGATTAGGGTATAAAATGCAGTCGATAACGCGAGGCCTCTCGGCTTTATTCTTTGTATACTGTGATATGCTAATAGGTTGGATTGGACTGAGAGTGCTGCGATTGGCTGCGAGACAAGGTAGTGGTGTCGGTATATGACTCAAGGTCTGAAGGGTTTTGTCAGCGCCAACACTAGTCATCGAAGGTGTTTCAACCAACCAAGTTGATCAAGTTGCCCCATTCTTTCTGTGCAGCACGAGAGACTGCACGACAAAAGGCGGTTTGCGAAAAAAGGTAGGCTTGGAGAGTGAGAAAATCTCCGTGGTTCCATTAGGGATTTATATGTATATGCCAGAATGACTGACAGCAAGTCCTTAGCGCAGAGCTATAGTACTGGGTGAGGGGAGGGGGGGGGTGGCAGGGTGTTTGTAAACACAGAAAAAAACCAAACAAAACCCAGATATTTGACCATATTCAACAAAAGTCATCGTGTGCCAGTGATTGGTTGTTCTTGATTCACGCAGACAGGTGATTTATTTGTGTTCCTCCGTTGAAAGTACATTCATTGGTAGTAGGCTGCCTATGGAACGCCCCACCTATATCGTTGAACTACATATCCTTTCCGACCCGTTCATTGCCCGCCTTTCCTGTTCAACGCAAGAACCACGAGGCCTGTTTATCACTCTGCCTACCAATACAATACCAGCCATAGCCAGGTCAAGTGTGCCGGTCTTATTTCGCTCGAGCAAAAACTCACTGCACCTCATTTATATAACAATAGCGTCTATCACTATTCTCCAATGTTCCGAGAATACCCTGATGTATAGAGTCGAAGGCCTGACGACGATCCCACAGCAGCAGCTCCTGGTTATTACAGCATTCTTGGAGCTTCTCATTCTCTCCCACCAGCCATTGGTTGGAGTCTTGTAGGAAACGACGTTCCTCTTCCAAGCGTATTTTGCCGGCGGACTTGATCATGTAACACTCCCATAGGCACAAATAGAGGTCCAGGAGGTCAACAGTGGAGGATGCTAAAGCGGGTTTCTTTTGCAGGATTTGGGTTAAATCACTGGTTAGGGAACAGGCCGCACCCATCGAGGTTGTCTGTTATTTGGTTAGAGCTGATCAAATACGGACCAAGTGAAATCTAACCTTTATCTCGCCCGGTGGCATTTGTTTCGAAGAGTTTGTCACTTGTTTGGTGCTTACTGGCGTCCCAACTGGCTTCTCATATGAATCTAGTGATTCTCGCTTTCTTTTGTTGGCCCTTCCCGAGGGAGAGTGGGAGGCAGGAAGGTCCATTGGGTTGGAGGGATTCAAAGCTCCTCTAGATTCAGATAGAGGAGGACAGAGAGTTGAAGATAGTCAATCTAAGTCGAGGAAATATATTTTTTTATATATTATATGCCAATCTACCGCGTCACGCTAAATTGGTTTTTTCTTAGGGAGATAAACAAACCCGCAATGAACTGTTCTAATATTGCACCCGGCCCACCTAAAGGATACCTTACTGAGGGCGCTGTTTGAACTGTCGGTTATACCTAATCGTGCTCATCTAACTGAGGGCCGGCAAAAAACTGCGGGCGCGCACAGGCACAGGTAAACATTTCGCTGGGCCGGCTCAATTGTACGGATTAGAGACAAAGCCGCGAAGAATGTATAATATAAATGGGAAAAAGGGCGCCTGCATAGTCATACGCAACTAGTTAGACTGCTACAGGTTAATTGAACTTTGATTGATTGATTGATTGATTGATTGTAGTACAGCTATTGCTATTCCAGTGAGGAACTTGGCTTTGTGGCCTTGAGTAATAGGGTGGCTGCGGTTTCTTCGGCACATTTCTTGCGGGCTCAAATAGACTGTTACACACTCAGCTTTCGACGGAATTCCCCGTTGAACACCCAGTGATAGTGTTGTTAACCGTCGTTTACCCTTCTTGGTACCTCTTCTTCCTACTCACAGGCTCGCGGGTGAGAATATTGAAAGCTGGTTATTCCGGTACCTCAAAGTTTGATGCAAAATCCGGTCAATCAGATCTAATCAAGCAGGTCTCAGATCGCTTTTCATCGGGCTTCTCTGGGCACTGTAGCCTCTCCTTCGCCTATTCGGACATCAGTTTGTTGTGCTTAAGCTCTAGGGAGCAATTTTCTCGCTGAAGACTATTGATATGTTCAAGCAAAGACCGATTTTGCTCCTCCAAGCTGGCACTTGCATCTGCGTAATCCCGCAGTATATTGTCGCAGTTTTGCAGTATAAGAATGTGGTTATACTGCATTCTCGACATTTCAGCATATATACTTGTAATGATACCCTCAACTCTTTGAGTTGGATGTTGCCTGTCTGAGCCGATGTTAGTCAGGACCTTCATGATACTTCCACCCAGCGACTGACCTCGGTGAACTTTCGGTAATGGGAGGGGCCTCTGCAACGCCATTGGTCTTCTCTGTGGAGGTATTTGATCTTTCTGGCCCCGAAGACGTTTTGTCACCGGTAATCGAATGGTGGGCTTGAGAGTCTCAAGTCCTTGCAGCCATGGCCTCTATATAACTAGTTTCCCGCGGGTATAACTTGGCTGACATTTCTATACATCCCGGTATCATTTGATATAATATCACCTACTTTGAATGCCAATATCAGGGATATACATAAAGTATACAGGATGTTTGGAAAAATGATCTGCGGGACCCACATGGCGTATATGGGTTCCCCTGAACGGGAGGAAGCCTGTTTCTTTTGCTTCCTCGCGCTGCGTCTTGTATCTAGAGTCGACTATAGTATTTCTTAAATTTGATTGCTTATCTCCAAACGGTATCTACCTCTATGTATATATGAGACACTCACGGCGCTGTAATTGGTTCTAAAGGCTTGTATCAGGGCTTGAGCCATCAGGGATCTGTAGCTCTGAGATCTGTGGCTAAGCGGGCCGTGGTATTGTAGGGGACGCCAGCTGGCAATCTGATGACCTGCAAGGCCTTGAGACCGCGGCCTTGGACTCTACTTGTCTCTGGCTCCGTATCTACTGCTATTGGGTCGGTGTCATCGAGCCCTAAGTACTTCCGCTATATCAACGTAAGATTATAGTTCTATTTACAGTACTCGTTCATTATCATGAACAACTGACCAGCAAACAACACACCTGTTGCGACAAAGCGCAAGAGTTCAGGGCGAGCTGGTAGGGATAGAAACCGTTGACTGTGGATCCCAATCCGGGTACACGGGGTAAAATACCAGGCTTTGAGGTTTTGGATGACGCCAACGGTCTTTCACGGCTACCTTGGTGTCGCGAGGGCTAGCAGCCTCAATGTAAGGAAGTCCGTGACTTGCCTTCCAGCAGTGATCCTTCGACATTGGATCCTTGATGTTCCACTCGATGGCAAATTCCATTCCCGCAAATTCAAGCCCAATTAGATGTGTTTCTAGATACCGATGTGTGGTCGTGTTAAAAAGATCGAAAACATTGACATCTAGGTACTCTCCAGATACTTTGCGTGGTTTGAATCCTGTATAACTGATCTGCCTGATCAGGTTATTTTCGAGAAGCTTTTGCCCAGCAATCCCTGCTTTTGCGCGCGTTTGCAGAGAAAATAACGCGGAGGCATAAGAACGGTACCTGAGGCGTTGAACGTCCTTAACGCTCTTTTCAAAGGTGGCGGGGATCGCAATTATCCACACCTCCAGCCGAGCTTGACTTGAGCGCTTTTCCTTGTAGTACTTGTCTGCCTTGAAGATCCGGTCGCTCAATCGAATAGTGTCCGGGCCGATAATTAGTATCTGACATTTCTCCTCGAACCAGGGCTCAAACTGTCGCATGGTATAGTCAAAGTCTCGTAGTGGCTGTAGGAACGTCTCCACTGTATGCTGGGATGGTGTAATCCGAAGTGAAGCTAAGAGGGCGCCAACATCGGAAGCCGTCAACTGTCCCATTATACTGCATGCTATCTCATAGTAGCCTGCGTGGTAAAATAGCAATGAGATTCCATTTTGACCCGGAGACATCTTGACAGAGTATGCGAATTGAGCTGTAGGTTTTGGAATTTCAGTATATTCTCGTCTTGCTCAAGCTACTATGAAGATCTTACCGAGGGGAAATTGTAATAATAAGTTCGTTTGAAGTGTTGAACGGTATAAAAAAGTGGAGATCAAGGCGTCTTATAAAAGCTTTCAGAAATATTCAATGTACCGTACGGTAAGCATGTACCCTAGTTCGTTCCTGGGAGAGCCACTCCCGCTCCTAGAGTACTGGGCTTGTTGAGTACATTTTTAGTCAATAGGCGTCTATATTTATGAAGTGCTAGAAGCTGCTCGGTGCCTGGGAGTGGACAGAAGGTTCCCGGGATCCAAGTATATGTTCCCGGGAGCTTCGGGGGTCTTAGGAACTCCCGCCCCGTTTCCAGGGCCATTAATTGGGCTCCCAGAAGGAGGCTCGGTGTCACCAGCTTATATACGACGGTTACAGATCGAAGGACGGGATCATTGAGCCCCTATACATAATATCATAATTAATCCAGTAGCATATAATCCTTCATATGCTATTTATCGTTGCCATGCCCTTACATTCACCACTAATTACTCCTTGTCACAATCAACGTATATCTCTAATCTGCCGTTCCTCACTTCATAGCTCGTAAGATGATAAGGTCGACAGCACGGCCATACTTAAGCGGCGTTAGAAAGTTGATTGTACTCTCTTCCGAGTTTGCTCTCCCGCCTCCCACAGCGCCGTATAGCCATACGATAGATTGGACCTCTGGGTTTTTTTTATTGTTTTACGCTGTCTAATAGGCCTAGAAGTTACTCTGAAACCGGGTACGGTGAACGACAGGGATCTGGTAGTTGGCGATGCAAAGACACAAGGGATATGATAAACGCGTAGCCCATTGGGCGGAAATTGTATTTGATCGGTTGATAAATAGTCTATTTAAACTGAGGTGTGGGTGTTACTTGGGTCCAAACCATCAGAAGCTGGAGGGCCACTGGGCTAAATCACTTGGCCATGGAATGACTGACTATCCGTCTATAAAAACTCTAGCCATTTCCCAAAAATTGGTAAGGTGATTCCGGTTGTGCTTCATAGACTCGGGCTTAGAGCTTTTATAGGGACAAAGGTAAGTCGTTAGCCATCGTCTAAGCTCTCCTTTAATCATCCGTCTAGACTGGCTAAGCTCAGGTAGTAAAATAGCGGAGTTCGCCCACTTGGGTTGTTCGCGACGACCATACAACCGTTCTGGTCAACTCAATGCTACCCGAGCTTTATGGCCTGTTACCGGTTTCTAACGTTCGGTTAACTTTGGTCTTCGGTAACCGGTTAGCCCCACTAGGACGTTCAAGTCCTTAAGATATACAATCTCTAAAGCCTAAAACGAACATATATCAAGGGCTTACAGCCTTGTTTGGCAAATCAAATACAATCATGGTCCTCACAAGCAATGAGAAGCGTGCCTTCTTCAGACAACAGTGTCGTGAGGTATTGGCAGCCCATATATGTATGCTATAGTCTTCCTCCGCCTGATAAGCGAAACTGATCGTCAGATGATCGACTTGGTCTTGTCGTCGCTCCCGCCGATGTCCGCCTACAGCCATCAGTCGGAGATAAATACGCTTGGTCGGTGACGGAATCCAAGAAGAGCCTATTGCAGTCAAATTTGGGCCGTGGAAGCGTGGGCCTTTACAAGTCCATTTGTGAGGAATTGGGCCGGTCGCTTGAGGCAGTTACTCCGCAGACGCTACAGGTTAGCCAATTGGAACGGGACCACCTGCCACGAGAAGAGGTGAGCTATACGATCCCTGAAGTTGTCTGACGAGGTAAACGCAATGCTAAATTTGAATAGGCCGGGGCAGCTCGTAGTGACCAAGAGGAAAGCGGATCTTTCACAGCAAAGATCCACGAGCTGGAATGCGCCAATCATGTATTGAAGGACGAGCTTGACCGTACCAGTATCCACCTGCAAGGGTCCCTCGGCGAAAACCGTATATTGCAAGCAAACATCCGTCGGCTTCAGGACGAGTTGGACAGTAGTTCATCTCGAGCAACTTACCTAGAAGACGAGTTGGTTCGTATCGGTAGTGGGATCACCGAAGCTATGCAGGTGTTGCAGGAGTACCAAGCACATAAGGGGAGCATGGTAAAACTGCATGGAGGCAGACAACGTGAATCTTGTGGTAGTATAGACAGCATCGTGCTAGGAATACCAGCTCCGATACCCGACGAGGTGTCTTGACGACATTGTGGTCGCGTATCCGTATTATCTTACGAGCGCTAGCGTTCCGGCCGGTGGGTCTACAGTTGAACCCCCGTTTTGGGAAATATCACTTCGCGCCTATCGCAACGCGGCTATGATCGTGCAAAATACGCGTTGTTAGGAGTGAGAACGCGGGTATTGATCTTATGACACATTAGCAGGAGATAGCAAGTACGAAGGGCTCACCTAGCCCATAGAAGGCCATGTTCATTAGGTTCGCGGCTGAAACTTCAAATCGTACTAGTCAATATATATATCCTAGGCTCACCTTTCACAAAGTCAATTGCGTCTGTTGTCAACCGCACTTGCACGCGGAACACTATTTATACCACCATATAGCTACTACGGCACTACCACACAATCCAGCTCTATCAGCCAAGGGTTTAGTCGTGTACTCTTGTGCTCGAAACAATCACCACCCGACATCTGCTGGGCACATACTGCGCCTAACCTAAAAGAGCTAGACTCAGCACGTGACATATAATACCCGCCAGTGTAATCCTAAGCACCGCTTAGGCCGCAACTCCTAAGGGATTACATAAGAGCATTTTGCCGCTAGGCCAAAAGATCATAGGGACAAACAGAACGTGTGTTTGTCACTGCAGCGGTATATATTAGGTCCCTAACTTCCGTTAGGGACCACAGAACCCACGTCATGATCTCACGTGATATACCTTATTAATCATTGCCCGATGACATCTCGGGTATCCAAGCAACGTCTCGTTGTATCTACCCCTCTATAAATGCTGGCGCTCGTCGGTTACCGAACCAGTTTGTCTCCTGGGTGAGTTTTCTATATAATTGCAGCTGACACTCAATATATTCTGACAAACAATTTACAGCTCTTTACCTTCATCCACACGATGTCTCCCACAACGATAAATCAGAGTGCCCGCTCGCGATTGACAGAACTCTCGGCATGGGTCTCCGAAACGAATAAGTTCCAGGCGGAACAGGAACACCTATTCAGATGCTCAGATGAAGGCCGCCATGTGAGAGTTGATCCTTTGTTGGAGGAACTGAGATTTAATAAAATCAAGGTATATCGATATATTGCTTGCCTGAAACTTGCCTCAAACTTGCCCTAACATTCTTAGGGGTACGGCTACTCGATCTGGCGGATCACGGGAAAGATTGCTTTCAAACCCACTCGTCATTACCAGTCTCTTTTCTTTCCTTTATCAATTAAGCCCGGGTCGGATGGTGCGGCAGGGGAAGTGCAAGCTGCAGGCGAGGTCCTTACACCAGGAACCTATATTTCATTCTCTAGTCCGCTGAAACTCGACAGTCAGTTGGATTGCTTAATTGTCTATTTACCCAAGGCTGACGACTCATCCCCAGCTGGGCAATGAAATGTGAATTGGCATCTTCTCTTCAAATCATATACTATCTCCCTATGACCTCGAGCATCAGATAAAAATTGAGTATCGTATTCATTACTGTGTATATATTATCAACGGTTTGTGTTATGCCACTAATTTCTCCAGCCAAGATAAATGACCATGTTTCCGCGCAATTTGAACTTCATACCTTGCATGCTCTGAGAAATTCGAGACCCCTGAAACAGTAGAATAGCCTCCAGCCCGCCCAGAAGGATGTTCAAACAACCGCTCTGAAGTATCGCTATGTAGGACGGAGCTTGTCAGATTTGGAAGATGGCTGGAAGGGCACACTGGAAAACCGGCCAAACTCCCCTGACGAGAACCAGGTGTGGCAACGGAACCTGTCGAACAATCCCCTGGTTCCCTCGTGACAGCAGAGTTGACAGAGCAACCTTTTGGCGTGCCAGCTTTATCTCCGAGTGGCAAAGATCTTGCTAGGATAGAATGTATGTTGGATAATGGCAACGCTGGCGGAGCATTGAAAAACCCATGAGGGAAGTCACTGGCTGAGAAGGGGTCGGCGAGGAAAGGAGGCGGGTCGCACTCTGGCAGATTGGGTATATTGTTGAAATCATCTTGAGGGAAGTCACTGACTGGGAAGGGGTCGGCGAGGAAAGGAGGCGGGTCGCACTCTGGCAGATTGGGTATATTGTTGAAATCATCTTGAGGGAAGTCACTGACTGGGAAGGGGTCGGCGAGGAAAGGAGGCGGGTCGCACTCTGGCAGATTGGGTATATTGTTGAAATCATCTTGAGGGAAGTCACTGACTGGGAAGGGGTCGGCGAGGAAAGGAGGCGGGTCGCACTCTGGCAGATTGGGTATATTGTTGAAATCATCTTGAGGGAAGTCACTGGCTGGGAAGGGGTCGGACTCTGGTAGATTGGGTAGATTGTTGAAATCATCTCGGGGGAAGTCACTGGCCGGGAAGGGATCTACTAAGGCAGAAACGTCGGGGTTTGCCCTAGGGCTTTCATGGGTAGAAGATATCAGTGTTGTTTGAAGATCAAGTGATAGAGACCGGCGGCTCTGCAGAGTTCTGGAGCTCAAGCTAGTGGCCTTGTCGAATATCCCATTGCTTTGCTCCAAGTTTAGTTGAGTGTCTGGGGGTTTGCCATCAGTTAACATTAAATGCTGGCTCCTTGGTCGCAGCGTGTCGTCATCGCAATCTGAAAAAGTCATTTACTGATGACTTATGAAAATGGACATAGACTTACCTGATACTGGCGGGTCGCGTTGGCCTTGACATCGCCTTTTTGATAGCCCTAGTTGCGCTGATGTGTTGGCTCTTTTATTACTATGAGGGCTTAATGCCTGGTCGAAAAGTAGCCGATATGAATTCACAGCCTTGCAGTTGTACCCCAGACACTTGCAAATTACCTCCAATCTGCTTTTAGTTAGTCATGCCTTTGGAATCAGAAATAGCAACGAGAAACTTACGAAGTGGTGTTTTTGAACAGCCTTTCTACGATCAGAGGTACCACGAGAGGGGCTGCTTCGTCTGTGATTGCAAGTTCGGAAGAGTCATTGATAGTATTCTCCCTTACTCTCCCTAAAAATAATTTCTTGGTCTCGGTAGAAAACTCGGCGAATCGAGCGTAAAAGCCAATTGGATGCTCCGCTTCTTGATTTAGCAGATGCGAAGAGCCTGATGGGATTTGACTTACCATCGAAAATAACACTCCAGCTTCTAGATGCCCATTTAGTCTGGCTAAGGAGAGATATAGCACGATTCGCCCACTTTGCACCGCAAACAAGTTTGTTCAAATATTTTGACTGAGCGTTAGATCCCCGGAAATCTCGCATAACTTCGTACACTTGGTCTTTGTCTTCATGAACTCTCAACGCAACAGCACATAATGAAACGAAGACAAGCTCTCGGAAGTAGGCGATTTTCCGATCTATACTGCTGCTCCTCACCGTGAACTGTCTGTATTGACGCAGGATTGGAATTATATTGGCAGGCTCAGCCGAATTGCCCGATGGTGTTTTGAATACCTTATTTAACGAGGTACAGGTCGGCGCAGCCGACCCGTAGTCTCGGACCAATTCCCGAAGAACGATTCTGCGTCGAGCTTCGTCGATAGGGGGCTTCCAATCTTTCAAGGAAGGTAGGTCCTCAAGAAATTTATCAAGTTCAGACTTCACCCTAAGCTGTTGCCCACCACTTCCCCTGCGGTGCTCGTTTTTATTTGGAGAAGACCCGGGCTGTTTATTTTTTTTAATCTTCGATCTAGCCCCGGAACCTTTCGGAAGCATACTAAGCGGGTTGTATTCGATGATTTCCAATCCTGTCCATTGACAGACCGCATCTTCAGCTTCGTGGTTGTGTTGTTCGTCACCAGGGCTTGGTGGGGTCTCTGATACGGGTTGCGTCCCATCATCCCATCCTTGCCTGTCAGGGACGCGGCTTTCATGATATCTCGCAACTTCGAAATCTTTTCCCGGATTGTTGGCAAAGTTGTCTTGGCCTCGTGAAGGATGAAGGGCTTCGATATAGGTATCTTGTCGAGATGTGCTGTGAAGAATTTTCTCAAGTGCAAAGATTCTCTCTTCAAGATACCAGATATAGGCGGTATTATCACCCTCAAATCCAAATCGGCGGGAACAAGGCATACTTGCCTACATACCTATGGGCGAATACAAGACGAAAAAGCGCCAAATAGTTTTTCTTTCCCGCCTCGCCCCCAAGTATAGGTGTTCAGGTGGCGCGAGCAACGAGCCAATCAAATGCGCCATACCTGCAGTCTCATCACATCGATGTGTCTAGTGTGAGGCGAACACCCCTTGCACTTCTTAATCCCTATATTAGAACAATTTGTCTCGACTTTTGTAAATCAAAATCACCTTTTTAGTGCCTGTGTTATATCCAAGTTTACTCTAAGCTTTTTACCATCTTATATCCATACGGCCGACCAGTTCTTGAATCAAGCTCTACCTGACCAGTCAGCCCTATTACTTGCCCGCATGTCAAAACACAACTACGTTGAATCTACAAGATGGGACCTTAACCTGACTGTTGCCTGTCGCCACTCCACCACACACCCTAGCAAAAGCAACGCTAGCCCAATTTAGGTTCCCCCAATGGGCGACCCTAATCTGGTAAGTGATCATCGCAATCCCATCTCTTATCCCCTGAAAGTAACGCTAGCCCGATTTAGGTCCCCCAATGGGCGACCCTAATCTGGTAAGTGATCATCGCAATCCCATCTCTTATCCCCTGAAAGTAACGCTAGCCCGATTTAGGTCCCCCAATGGGCGACCCTAATCTGGTAAGTGATCATCGCAATCCCATCTCTTATCCCCTGAAAGTAACGCTAGCCCGATTTAGGTCCCCCAATGGGCGACCCTAATCTGGTAAGTGATCATCGCAATCCCATCTCTTATCCCCTGAAAGTAACGCTAGCCCGATTTAGGTCCCCCAATGGGCGACCCTAATCTGGTAAGTGATCATCGCAATCCCATCCCTTATCCCCGCAAAGCAACCCTAGCCCGATTTGCCCTGGGCCAATATAAGATAATTAGCAATAAAGGAGCTTGAGAACCGAGGCCAGATTGCTTTTCAGCAAACCCCCAATCTAATATTCCTGAATTTCACAGGAAACGAACCCCCCAAAGTCCCGAGAAACAGTTTTATTCGGAGGTCCAGATTCCGATCAAAGTTCTACGATCGAACCTACGAAAACAGATATAGCCGTGATGTCGAAAGAACAGCCTACCTCTTCAGTCTCTGGTGTTCCTGTCGAAGATCCAGCGCCGGTTAGCTTGCTTGTGGGTTCCCCTTTCCTTCTCGTTAAAACCAAGCTCTAACCAAACAAGACTGCGAATTTGGTTCTATCCCAATGGACTCCAACTTATGGAAGAAAAGAAAGGGCCTCCACGATGTGGTTGTTGATGCCGTTCCTCTTCAAGAGCTTGGCACTGAGGACTATGGAAATACGAAGGATGCATTCCTGGTGGACCTTGCCGTGCTCGAGGCTGGTGTTACACAGGTTTGGGGGAAATATGGGATTATAAAATTCATTCCGTTGAGCAGCGATGATCCGATTGTCTTACAACAATCGGCAAAAGACCTTGACTTGAAGAAAGCTCTTTGTTATCAGCACCTACGCTCAAAATACGTATATAAGGGTAACAGAACGAAAGAGTTAGCAGCAGTTTTAGGATACGAGATGAATAAGGGTTTGACCGACTAGTATTATAACACTCTTAAAGACCTTGACAGGCGCCAGGAACAACTCGGATTCATTTGACCAGTGCACATATAATTCAATTCATGTTTTGCTCCTACACTGAGTCCTTGGCGAGGCTCAATTTTTTTGGTATCGACCTTGAAGTATTCTCACTCAATTATCATCAGGTCTCTCATGCTGTGTGCCCATCCGCACGCTTTTGCAAACGTAGCATTTATTTTCACCTCCATCAAATGTAGAGCGAGAGCGTGCAGATCTAGTTACTTCGACCAATTGAACTCTTCAGTCCAGATAGATATATACTAACTGAGATAGCGGCCATAACCAATAAGTCTGATGTTTGCTCGTCGCCAGAAGAAGCAAAACATTGTCAGTAATCGGGTCGCATATAATAGTATAATTTAATAGATATATAAAGCCTGATCATTGTACGAAAGATATATTTCAATTCACCTTCCCCTAGTATGGATACTATAGAGCTAACTTTGATCACCCTTATTGCGAGCTGGTATTTTCTCATTTTTTGCGCACTTTACTGCTTTCCATTTTTCCACAATCGCACTCAGGTGTGCAAATCTGCGCCCTCTATTCTTCTTAGGTTTAAGCTAACTTAACTTCGTATATAGAGAAGTCAATCCTCACATTGCGATTGAAAATACCAAGTGCAAAGAGGAACCAGGCTTTCCTGTATAATTCGTGCTAACAGGAATATACCCAATACTATGTAGGTTCTATGTTTTTACTAGAGACTTTCAACCAAGCTCGACTAAGCTTTATAGATGTGGCGCATACGATACAGCAGGCATCGAGAAGCCACTTGATCCAATGAGGATTAGTTCGGTGTTATTCCTTCCAAAAATCCGCTGGCACCCGGGTCCTACTCGAAGGAAACATCGAATAGCCTTGATCCTGTCTTTTGTTTGGATACAGTGACACCGAAATCAACGGCCCAACCCGGTAGCACCCATTCCAAGCAGGTGCAACTTTCAGGCCTATCACACATTTCTTCGACTACTACGAAAGAGACTAGTCACATCTAGACTGCGACATCGCCCGTCCACGGTGGGCCTTGGGCTATTTGGATTTTCGAGTGCCCGTCCATAACGCCCAAGGCCCACGGGCATGCCCACGGCGGGCATGCCCACGATGCCCACCATTATATAAAGTTGTCTTAAATATATATAAAAATTAGATATATAGTAAATTATAGTATATATATTTATATATATCTTATTAAAAATCCGGAATTATGATTGTAAATATATAAAAAATATAAATTTAGTTGAAATATTTTGAAATCTGTCAATAAAAATCACGTGTTGCGCTAATTTTGCTTACTAAAAAGGCCCACGGGCGCCCACGGTGTCCATGGACAATGGGCCCTAAGGGTAGGGCCCGTCCATGGGCGTATGGATAGTGCCCATCGCCCGCTTACATAAGGCCCGTGGGCACTGCCCACCCGCCCGTCCATGGGCGATGTCGCAGTCTAGTCACATCAGCAATCGCAATAGTCGAAACCACAAATACAATAACGAGGAGCTTTGGTTTATTTGGTACAAACGCGCTGCTCTTAACCGAAGATAGGACGATATCCTTAAGAGCTTTAACCGCCAATTCCCGGGGCGGCAACGTCGATGTGGCCGGACACTACGAGCCGCGTACTATCGATCGATCGAAAGGCTACAATCTCGGGTAGTCAGAAAAGGCGTCCCAGCAGGGCTCAGGTGATGCCAGCTTCGCAGGTTGCAGGAGTGTCCACCCTTACGATGGAAATCAATAAGTGTTGAACATTATTTTGCCAGGACTAGATTCTGCTCTTTCCCCGAGGTTCTAGATAACCAATGCTTAATATTCTTTGACACCTCGGCCGACCTCATCATATGGCGAAAGGGCGGGTTTTCGAAAGCGAATATCATATGACTAGACTTTTGAGGGATGGAGGAGACTATTGGTATGCTAAGTGTGAGAGACTGGATTCTCCAAAAGATTGGCAGCAACCAAGGGTAACCCTAACTCGTTAATGCTTTATGTTGAAGGACGTCCTTTTGTCTCCCCTCCAATACTTCACGTTAGCTTTTACAAATTGTATCTCTCGTTACCTTTTCCCCCCTTACCCACAGAAGAATAGGCGGTTCGTGAAAGGCCCCATCAGGTCTGGTGGAGGTCAATTCGGGTGATCCCTTACAAGCTCCGGTAGGATACTGTGGCATTTATTGGCTTAAAGGGAGATGGCAGATTTGTTTAGGCTTTGCTTGGAGACTGATTTTCTTTTGTACTTTCTTTTCTTAAAAGAGCATATGGATATTGTGAAGTGATTCGCTGTGATAGGTGTATAGGAGATCGGAACGTGTGTGGGATTGTTACGGCTACATATAAAAGAAGAACTAGTGAATTGTAATTTCTCCAAGGAAATGAAGCGCGTAAGACGGACGAGTCAAGGCCTAGGGACTATTAGCTTGTTCTGATGATCTTTAGAAGTCGCCCAGCAGACGTAGACCTTGTAAAGAAAAAAAGTCAAGACTTGCAATGTAAATTAGCATTAATTGCTCACTCTCTACAGCGAAAGTTATGCAAAGCCACTTAGCAGATAAGGAAGAAGGCTATACAAAAAGCCTTATTAAGGGCCTCGAATATGTAGTTAAATTATAGTTGCTATACGTGATTACCGTTATCGAACGGTCACACAATCCTAAAGCGGTATAGCTCAGAGTGCATACGCTACATAGACATTACGCCGTCTACGGAGCCTGAATCAGCCCGTCAAGAGCACCTGTCATATCCCGTTGATTAAGCCAATCATCCAAAGGCCGCGTAATAGGCCCATAATTAGATTAATTTCACATCTATGGCTGCTTCGTACCTTTACCTCGCACCTCGCACCTAGCCTCTTTTGGATTGATGATGGGCTATAAAGGTGATGGATAGCCCACCCCTTTCTCAATATATCCGAGAATCATTTAACCCACAAACTCCGTGACTTCTGCCCCAGCTTCCTTCCGAGCCCGTTCAAAGTATTCTGTTTTCTCGCCGATCACTTGTTGCGAGTATTAGGCGCTTAGACTTGTCATTGTAAGTACCTTTTTTGATTGTTCCCGTCCATCCGCTTACCTTGCATACTACCCAGACGAAAAGCCCACATCGCAAAATGAAGAATGATCAGATTTCCGCACACTTAGATGCCCTCGGAAGCTCTCAAGATCAGCTTGAAGATCCGACGGGTGATGTCGATGAACCACTTAGGCTTCGATTCCTAGCGCTTCAGGCAGCTGTTTATCCCGCGCTCTTGGGGAACCTTGGGATGCAGCAGGACGCTCAATTCCAGCAAGCACGAAGTCCCGATGATCTTGATGTAGCAGTACAGTTTTGTCAGCTTGCGGCTAAAGCGACTTCTTATGTCGACTGTGCAGCGCATCTAAATCGTCTAGTGGGATTATTCGACTCTCGATTCCAGGAGAGCAATAAGCAGCTTTATTCAAACCTAGACCCACGCTTAGACGCCCTCAAAATCAGTCTCTACGCTCAAAGTCAACTCACAACCCTGATGCCGGACTTGGTCGATGAAGCTTTTCGGCATGGCTTTCTAGCACTTCAGGCTGCCATTGATCCCGCGCTCCTCGACGGTCTTGAGACACAGTTTCATATACGATACGCGCAAACAAAGGATATCGAGGATCTCAACTTGGCGATCGAGTATTCTCGGCTTGCGACCAAGATGACTACTTACAACCATCCCGGCCTCAGTCCGCGCCTAAACCGCCTATCGAAACTGCTCGAATTTCGATTCATGTTAACGGGAGATTTGCCTGATCTTGATAGTGCAATTCAACTCACTTATGCTGCAAGTATGGCTACATTGCCTGCCAGAGATAATGCTATCAACGATGACCTTATACTGTTCTGGCTCAACATCGGGAAGAGGCTCGGAATTCGGTTTGGCGCCACAGAAAATTCTGTCGATGGCGAAGGTGCTATCCATTACCTTCGCCTAGCAGTTAAAGAGATCACTGAAGATTCCCTGTTCTACGTCGATGTCTTGGTTGAGCTCGCTTTCACTCTCCGTCTCCGATACAAGAAATCGGAAAATCTAGATGATCTCGATCAAGCGATTTCTCTATGTCAACGGGTTTATCAGTCTACCGTTGAGCAAGATCGTAAATGGTTAGATTGCCTACGCGATCTTGCATGCGACTTGGGTTTCCGGTATCAACGTGTCGGAAATATCGTTGACCTTCATGATGGGGTCAAGGTAGCTTATACTGTGGCCTTGAAAGTCACAGTGGCTAGCCCTGATGTGCATGGTATTTGCTTCTATGAGCTCGGGGCTATGCTTGAACTTCTGTATGAAGCAGAAAACAAGATAGAATACCTCAATTTTGCCATTGACTGGTCTCGTAGGGCGGGGGGTGTACTCAGGGCACACAGAGAGGTTTTTTATCTTCTCGAACGCTTGTTGAAGCTTCGTTATGAGGAAACACACCAGGTCAATGACTCCGAAGAAGCAGCCAGGTGGGCAGAAGAAGCAGCCAGGTGTGGAAAATCAGTTTAGAAGGATTTCGTCAAACTTGAAGTCTCCTAGCATTCGGCTGAGTGCGCGTATTTCAAAGAGACCACTAGAGCAGGAAAAGCCATTACAAAATTTAGCGGAGGACCTGGCTTATGTTGAGTTGAAATTATATGTCATATAATATCACCAATAAATAAAGGCAAGAGCATGCCGATCATTTTGGTCCGAGGGCGTAAGCAGGATCTGGAAGTAGGGAGGCGATTTAATGGAAGCTGATTACTGGCTAAAACCACCAACGTACAGAATGAGTAACAACGCTGGTTGGTGGAGGCAAAGTGTCTTTGTAGGGTATGCATTCTGAGCTATACTATTTTGGTAATTCTATGAAAAGTCTTGTGCGTAGATGGCGGGGTCCGTCTAGTCCTTACGGCCAAGATTCTCCGCTAGGTCAAACTGGTCGTCTCCAGCTGAAAGGCTCGGTGTTCGGTAGACCCTCCTTTTGCTAAGGTGGTAAGTGAATTCTTATAGAGGTCGACGCAGCTATAGTTGAACTAGTCAAGTCCTCTTTCATTAACCTCAGCAATTTGCGGCTGTCGAACGCCGATTCATTTTTCGCCGCAGAATACGGTCGTTCCTATCATAACACTGCGTTTGATGCTTTGATGCGGATGCTAGACCAATACCATAAAGCAGCGAGTTCAATTCAGAAGTCAAACCATCCACGGTTGATCAATTGGATCAAGGGCGAAATACATCTCAAGCTCCAAAAGCATTATCGAAAACAGATCGATTGCCCGAAAACAGATCTATAAATTCTATAGTATGTATTGATATACAGGATGGATCGAAATCAGTTTCACCACTTCTTCACAGAGATTCTTTCTCGAACCCTCTGTCGAAACACACTATACCTATTACGGTTACTCTTCCCCTGAACCCCTTTCTTGGCAGTATTCCGATACAATCGTAAATAACAGCTTAAAATAGCTTCTGTATTTGACTCGTATGGTCTCCAGGGATTCTAGAACGTTGATCTAGCAAACAAGCCAAACAAACGAATGCCTGCAGCTCATTTGGAGACGTGGCAGGAATTAGAATCCCCATTCTGCCAACCACTTGCCCTCTAGAGTGACCACTGTGAACGAGCGAGTTGTATAGAGACAGTACTAGTGGGTAATATTTTTTGCTTCTTGTAACAGGCTTGGCCTTCTGATTGGGGACTAGCATCTCCTGAACTGACTGGTCGTGATCATGCTGATGTTGGATCTGCTAGAGCCTTGAAACGAGCACGATGACTGCTAATTCGTGTCCTAATGACCATGATTCTCAGCCGCATGACCTCGAACTTGGGGATCAAGATTCGCAATATGCCCCCACTCCAGGATTCTACGGTCGCACGCCTGCGTCAAGTTATGGGCGCAGCCCTTCCCTCGATTATCACTTCGAAAACGATCCGGAAGTCCTGTCACAACAGCAACCACAACCTCCTCGACTACTTGAGCTATCCGAATGGTATGAGGGAATGTCAAGTAACGAACTGCCGGCAAACTGCATCCAATATACGATAGAGTGGAAAGTCATCGTGAATAAGAAAGTGCTCTCGCGGGACACTGAAGAGGACGTAGCCCTGATTCCGAGTGCCTACTGGCCGACGACCCTGAAGGGTAAGTTGGAAAAGTTGTTAGATGGAAAGCCCCCGGTAAAGGAAGGGTAAAGTCGGACGACACCTCGATTGTCGTGTCGGTGAATGATCGCTCCCAACGCGACCTGACGAAACGATTTGACCATCTCGACATCGATTGGACTGCCGTGGAAAAGCAACTGCTCAGGTGGGGCGAACTGTGCCGTCGAGGCAAGAAACTGAGGTTAAGTATTAACTTTAAATATATTGAGGACGACCGTCTCTCCAAAACTGCCTCAGGCAGGGTCGAAAAAAGAGGAAGGTCATCGGTCACTAAACGGATGCTCAACGAACTAGACGTTCAAGTGGATGCCGAAGAGAATTCATCTGGGCAAGAATCCGTTTGGCGAGCTGTGTACAACCTGATGCGTTGTCCTTCTTCATCATGCCATCTTGGCCCACATTGCTGGCAATACCCACACGGGAAAAAGCACTATGCGCTGAGGAGCCACCATTTAAAACGTTTAATTGCCTTGGTGGAAAAAGGCAACACCCTGCAGTCTCATGAAGACGTCCCGGAAATCTTTCGTGAAGAACTATTCATGGAAGAGCGGCAGCGGCTGGAGAACCAACAATCCAAGAAAAAAAAATTGTCCAGTATCCCAGGAAGTTGTCCCATCAATATACATTTTAATGGGGTGCAACCTTCCTCTCAATTGGAGACGCCCGCATCCTCCGCATCCCCAGCAATGCCTTCGTCACCAAAGGCCCAAGTCAATGGCGACTTGAATATTCCTGGACTTCGAGATGTTGCGGTCAGAGAGTATAGCGCATGGCATGAGGCGAATGTCGCTGATGACCATTTAAAAGCTCAGTTTCGTCAAGCATTTGATATCGCACTGGCGAATGGTTTCGATCTTCAGCTAATCTACGAGGACCAAGATCCGTCATTCTTTATCGATCAAGGGATCATGGTGGGTATTGCCCGTCAATTCGTAAGAGATGTGGTGAAATGGGTCATAAGTAAGAGGAATATTTCGCCGATTGAGTGTATATAGATAGTACTCTAAAGAAGCATACAATAGTGGCTAGGAGAATCGCGATATTTGTTATTGAACTACAGTACTTGTTTCGAATATCTACTTCAGAATATAAATAGGACACAACGGTAGACGGAAAATGAGTAGAGCCTTAGGTGGGTTTCATTAGCAGTCCGTAGTACATATGTATATATCTATGTGACGTTCCTATATCGCTGGTCTAGTCATTGAATTCTGAGCCTGGATATCAACGCCAGAATGTCTAAAATGACCCAAAGCACTTTGTTTTCGAGACCCAACAACCTCAATACACCAGTCGAGGAAGGTTTGAAACCCTTGTTCTGAGTTTTCCTCATACCGTACCCAGTTCCGTCTAATGAATGCTTTCAACTCCGAGAAAAACTCCTCGATCGGATTCAGGTCGGGTGAGTACGGTGGCAGATACACTAGCTTAACTCCTGCTGCAGTGCACATTGCATCGATACGATCAGAACGATGAAAAGACGCGTTGTCCATGACTAGAACGGACTTTGGCTCAGGCCATCTTCCACAATGCCTTAGAAGCTGATTAATGAAGTCCTCAAATAATGCAGCGTCGGTGGAGCCCTGGAAAACACGAGAGAGTACGATCCCATCTTGGCAATACGCAGGCAAGATCTGGTACCGTTGGTCGCGGTGAAAGTTGGCTACCTGCAATGGCGCCGTGCCTAACGGAGACCAACCTGTCCGTCTAAACCCGATCCGTTTATCACATCCAGACTCATCCACATAGACTAAGTGATACGACTTAAAGTCCGACAGATAGTGCAAATAGGAATCTCGTAAATCCGCATTCTGTTCCTTTGCTCTCTGTCGAGCCACCTTCTTCGACCAATTTACCGATGCGAGAGCCCACTTGAGGCTCGAATTTGTGACCTGAACACGGAACTCGTCCCATAGAAATATTGCCATCTCGTCCACGTATAGCCCGGGTTTTTCGAGGAGGCGATCACATAGTGCTTCTATCATCGGAGGTGTGATGCTTCGTCGTCGACCGACTCGAGTTGGGGGTGCTCTGACATTTCCGAATCGGCGGAGGTTATTGCTGATGTTGATTATGGAACGCTTACTACATTCAGCAGCTTTAGCCATTTGCGAGGTAGTCAGCGATTTGCTTGATATCATGTTCTGGACCATTTCGAGCTTGGATAGAGGGAGTCTTGGCGCTATATTGCGAAGAGAATTCTGGACGTTGATAGAAGAGAGCTTTAGGAGGGCGACGGGGGTGGGGAGCGACTCTATCTGCTCACCTTTGCTCACCCCTTTGCTCAGTGAGCAGGTGAAATAATTTTGGGTGAAAAGCCTGGGGGATGCTAGGTATTAGGATATGCACGTGATATAACGATCTCGTAGTCCCTGGGAGCCTAGCAGCACATCTCAAAGTTGCGGACCTCAGAAAAGGATGATTAAACAAAATGGCACATCATCCCTCGGTTATGCTAATCACCAACTGTGATCCAGCACTTCTTAAAATGTGCAATTTAATTGCTAGAAAGCAGTGACCTCTTCAAGCGATGAGGGTCAGATATTTTATCTGGAAAACGCTGGCTGGTCACAGTAACAGGGCCCTCATTCGATCTGACTTTTGGAATCGGGTAGACCCGTTCCTGGGAACGTCATTACCCGCCCCCACGTGGAAGTGAAATCGACACAAAACCATTCAGAAAGCGGTGTGGGCAAGCTGAAAGGTGCAATTAATCTTCCTAGCTGATCGCGCTAGAGTCACATGATGACGAGGCTGAGGAAGTCCCCCCTCTTTCATTTCGTTGGAGTCCCACTGAGATTCTCGTAATAAACCACATTAGAACTTTCTGAAAAGAGCTACTTCTTAGTGTCTTCTGCTGGAAGAGAAAGTGCTTGATTAACACATCGCGTGGTTAGTCGAGCTGTTCTTCATCCATTATGGCTGAGAATTCCCAATCTCAGCCAGAGCAATCAGTGTCAGGACAGAACAAAGCTAGTCCCGACACACCACCATGCCGAAAGCGACTCCAACACGATGCCTATACCATCGGATGGGTGTGCGCCCTTCCAAAAGAACAAACAGCAGCCAGAGCCATGCTAGATGAAGAGCACGAACCTCTCCCGACCTCTCGAAATGATCATAACGCATATACTCTTGGCTCGATACGCGGCCACAACGTCGTCATAGCCTGCCTACCTAACATGGGAACCAATTCTGCCGCAACCGTCGCGACCTCAATGATCAACACGTTCCAATCAATCAGGTTCGGGCTTATGGTAGGGATTGGCGGCGGAATTCCGTCAAAGGTCAGTCTGGGTGATGTGGTGGTCAGTCAACCTGTTGCTGACTATCACGGGGTGATACAATGGGATATGGGGAAGCTGGAACGGGATGGGCGGTTTGTCCACACGGGCTCGCTGAACCGACCTCCGAACGCGCTACTCAATGCCTCGAACCAGCTGAAAAGTAACCATGAGATGTACAGATCAAAGATAAATGAGTACCTGGACGATATGGAAAGGAAATTCCCGCGGCTAGCGCCAAAATATACGCGGTGTGAGGCCTTGCAAGACCCATTATTGGTATCCGAGCGGTTCCGGACTCCGAGGGAAGTCTATTTCCTGTCTTGGTTGTGGCAGGCGATCATCGCGATTATCGCATATCTTCTTGGTTCATGGGCCATTAATCCGGTAAATGAGGAGAATGTGCGGGTATCAGAGAAGGCAGAGGGTGCAAGGGCCCCAAGAGATGTCAGGGTACACTATGGCCTGATCGCATCCGGGAACAAAGTGATTAAGGATGCCCAATCCCGAGACCTCCTTGACAAAAAATACGGCGGGCACTTACTATGCGTGGAGATGGAGGTAGCTGGACTCATGAATGACTTCCCATGTATTGTTATCCGAGGCATTTGTGACTACGCGGACTCGGGAAAAGAGAAAACCTGGCAAGAATATGCTGCAGCCATGGCCGCTGCGTACGCAAAGGAACTTTTGGGATGTGTTCAGTCTAGTGTTGTTAATGCCGAGGATCCAGCAAAGGCTATATTGGAAAAGGGTTAGTATATACCTACCTGAATACATCATTTGCAGGTGTATTAAATACCAGCAAATAACCGAGACGAATAACATTTGAATTTGGAAATATATTCTGACTGCGAGTGGTGCGAGTAGTGCAACTGCAGATCGATAGCATGCAGCAGACAACAGCCGCAACAAGAGCTACTGCAGATTCTATCAGATCTGACCTTCATACCAGTGAGATCAAGCGCTGGCTTTGTCCCCCGGATCCATCTTCAAACGCCAGCCATGCTAGGACGCTCCGCCATGAGGGGACTGGCGCGTGGCTGCTCGAATCCCCCGTCTTCCAAGAGTGGCACTCGGGGTCACGTCGACAGTTATGGCTGCACGGGCTCGCGGGGTGTGGAAAGTCGGTTCTTAGTACCACTGTGCTTGATCATCTCGCGAAGAGAGACGACAATCTTATCCTCAGCTTCTTCTTTGACTTTAGTGACGTTGCAAAACAGACATTGGAAGGCATGCTGCGCTCGCTTGCTTTCCAACTTTACGACGGCGGGGTGGACTCTGCTAATCATCTCGATGCTTCGTTCCAGGCACACCGAAATGGCAGCGACCAACCTACGATCAAGGTGCTCCGGGGTGTTATTTCCAAGATGCTTGTAGCCCAGAGAAAGGTCACTATTGTTCTGGACGCATTGGACGAATCAAAAACAAGGAAAGACGTGCTAGAATATATCGAGAATATGGTATTAAACCCAGATTTGGTGCATGTCCAGCTTCTTCTTACCGGTCGACCTGAATCCGAGTTCCTGCGCGACATCCCCCCTTTGATCGGGAAGCAAAACTGTCTACCACTTGATAAGCAAGCTGTTAACTCCGATATCCGATCGTGGGTCACAGCACAACTCTCTCAACGGCGTGATTTTATACAAAAGCCTTTGTCACAAAGCCTCCTGGAAGACATCCGGAAAAAGGTTGGCGACGGCGCCGACGGGATGTGAGATATTGCTGGTTCGATCAATATATTTCTAGCTCACTGACGTCTTCATCAGGTTCAGGTGGGCATTTTGTCAGTTAGACAGCCTGGCAGAATGTCCTCACGAGGAAGCCATGGAGGAGGCTCTCGAATCTTTACCAGGGGATCTTGATAAGACGTACGAGCGCATGCTCGAAAGCATACCAACGGAGCGCAAAAGTGATGCGATACGACTCCTACAATTCCTTGTGCACTCCAAACGACCTCTAACGCTGGCCGAAGTTAAAGAAGTGATAGCGACGAAGATTGAAAACGACTCACAACGGTTTTATATGAAACGTCGACTATTTTGCGAGACTGAAATTTTGACGTACTGTCCCGGCTTAGTGACAGTCGTTCATGCCAAAGATAAAGAGTTACATCTTGCCCACTTTTCCGTGAAAGAGTACCTTCTTGGACGTAATAAGTTCAAGGTTACGGCTGCAAGCATTTGCATTACGAGGACGTGCTTGACATATCTTACGGACATCAACGGTAGCGAAAGAGAGATAAAGCATAACTTTCCAATGGCAGCATATGCGGCCGAGGTCTGGGCGTGCCATGCTGCGTTGGCTCAAATCTACGATGAGGTTGTTCGAATGATAGTCAGCTTCCTCAAAGAGGAAACCACATTCCAGCGATGGGCCCGGTTGCATCAGGCTGATAGGAGTTGGGACAAGAGCCCTGGTGCTCCGCGAGGCTCTAGACTTTACTATGCTTGCTTAAATGGGCTTGATGTTCCTGCACTCGAGTTTATTGACAGGGGAGCAGATGTCAACGCGCAGGGCGGCAGCTATGGCAACGCTCTCTATGCTGCCTCCCAGGGAGGCTATCAAGAGATTGTCAAGCTGCTTTTGAACAAAGAGGCAGATGTCAACGCGCAGGGCAGTGAGTATGGCAACGCTCTCCAGGCTACCTCCCAGGGAGGCCATCAAGAGATTGTCAACCTGCTTTTGAACAAGGGAGCAGATGTCAACGCGCAGGGCGGCAGCTATGGCAGCGCTCTCTATGCTGCCTCTGAGGGAGGCTATCAAGAGATTGTCAAACTACTTTTGAACAAGGGAGCAGATATCAACGCGCAGGGCAGCGAGTATGGCAACGCTCTCTATGCTGCCTCCCAACAAGACCATCATTTTCTTTTACAATCTGTCACCAAAATGAAGATAAGTAGGTAATACAGGGGAGCTACTATAGTCTACACTAATAACATAGTATCTCAGAAGATATCGTCCAATGTCTCTCCTGGCAGGTATATATGTCAACGAACATAGCTCCTCGTGGTATTCCAGAGCTCTATGAACACATAATCAGCAATCTTGATTCGAATGAAAGCGGAAATATACTCCAACAATGGGTCTTGATCCTAAGGAGAACACACGCTTCTCTTTTTGAAAAGCAACTCCCACAGTGGCAAATTACAGTAGGTAAACAACTAAGAGCCTTTTTCATTCGTCCATGTTAACTAAAAATGTTAACTAAAAAAATTTAGAAGCAAAGGATTTTTTGTTCTTTATCCTTCATATATAGCCTAGAGGTTACGCCTATATATTGAACAAAATCAAGATAACTAGTTAGTGGATTTTATAGTATTAATCCTACCGTAAGACACTACAAAGAGATCTCGGTTTTTTATTAAAAGAGGCTACGAACCAGCAATAACCTTTAATTAGAAGGACTCGGGTACTCTTACTCCTAATAAGTAAGAAGCGGAGTAGATACTCTCTTCTTTCTTTTTCTTCCCCATGATTAGTATTTTGAATGAACTGCACTCTTTACTTCAAAGACTTGGCACGTAACAAAGTGGGCCGAAATACTTGTTTTGATAGGCCAGGATAGTCTCGAAGATACTGCTATTAGAATATCTATATCACGTCCGGGAAATACTCTCTCTTTGTTCGTCCGGATTTTGGATCAAGGGTCTCGGGAGTATCTCGAGCATAATATAAATACTCGACCGGTCTACCTTCCCGGAACCATTCTTCAATATTTCAATAGAATCTATTCTGGATACCTACTACTATGTCGTCGGATAAGGACTTCTGTGTAAGACAATCAACTCTGGGTTTCTCTGCAGTTATGTATTAATTTATGAAGTTTCCTTTCCTAAGAGCCAGTCTCTAAGCCGCCGAAACGACTTTAATTGCTCAACAAGTGTGGCTTCTGGGAACAAGGGAGGTTAAAAGAGCAATAAAGCGGCAGCATAAACCCAATGCTAGAACTGCATCCCTAGTGGTCACCTGCCAGGCCCTCAGAAAATATCGGTACTTGCTCTTGGGGGAAACGCAGAGCCTTGGCCAAAAACAGACTGCTGAAGGAATATACGCACCTTATAGCAAGCAAGCTCACTACTCGTGCTTTGGCTATGCTTTCCCTTCTCGCCTGGCATTTTGACTCGAAAATGGTGCCTCTCCCCCAGAGGCTTCTTCTATTCTTCGCCGACCCCGACAAGCAATTTGACATAGTGTGCCGATCTATCTTCCTTAGCTACACGAAAATGTATGGACCGGATATGTTGGCAAACTTCGAGGGAAGATTGAGGAAACTGTTAGGGCTATTAGAAAGGCACGTGATAAAAGGCGACGCGGTCTTGTATACTTAGATTTGACCCTCTGTTGAGACCTTGTCACATCATACCAGTCAATGGGAAATAAAAAGACAGTATATATGCAATCACGTGCCTCAACACCAACTTCAATCACTGAATGTTATAGCACACCTCTAACTAGCCTTTTGCCACTTCCATTTTCCTTTGCTCTTCTCTTAGTCCACACCTGTCAAAGTTTTTTGTGGGATGAGCGAGTCAAAATGGGAATTGAAAGCTTTCCGTCGGTACCTATATTGCACTGTTAGTTTGTCATCAGTCGATGAGTTCCTCTGCAACACACTACTATGATATATCTCGCTCAATAAGATCTTAATTTAGATCGTAATCACAGCCAACCACATTGCGTCGATTATTTCTCTCTTTGGGACTTTTTATCATTAGTCTCAGCACATTGGGCTTGCGTTTGTATGAAAAGACTCACGACAATATTCAAGGACAAACTCAACAGAGAAAACTTTCTCGTAAGTGCGGCGTCCTGGACCCTCTCCCAAGGGAAGGTCACTAATTCCCCGGGAGAATACTTCCGCGCCATACATACATATATGATTTGCTTCCCGTTTGCATAAAATCTTCAAAGCTCAAAGGTATTCACGATTTAAGCGTGATTCATATATACTTTGTAGAGCGAATGGTCTTCGACTACAGAAATGTAAAGCACTGTTACGACCATGATCATTCGCTGGTCATCCTATCTCGTCTATATATTAGACTCTAGAGCTCACTTGATATATATGAGTATACGAAATACGCTAGACGCATCTTTATATATCCAAATACATTAGTAAATGCTCTTGCCGAATAGAACTAGCGGTGGGGATACAAGATAGCCCTTCTGCAAGATTTTTGATTAAGATTCTGATACGAAAGCCTTTGGGATGGCACGGCCTCGACCGATTGTGGATTTTGGCTTGTATTTGTTCCATTACAGGTACTAGTTTAAGGCTGCTCTTATAACCTCGTATATCGAATTTCCAAGTTTTTTATTGGCTATATAATTCAAGTTAGCTTCAGGATGACACTATCTAAGCTAAGAAGCTGAGCGGTTGTGGGACTGTCTGAAAACGTGGTCTTCAAGCAAGAGCTTGAATTTGGAGGGCTCAGTTGCAGGCCGCGTTCCACTAGGAGATCCCATCCAATGGAAGATCCGATCGTCTCCGTCCGTGAAACTCGGTAGTGTTCGAAGCACAGTTTGTTAAGAATATAAGGTGATCCTGCAATCTTCTCCTTACTCCTCCTTTCGTGCTGAATGATGTAATACGTCTCCAGATCTTCGCCATCTTTTGATATGACTTCGTCGATTATGCGCAACGGACGAGACTTCGAGTCCAGAATTTCGGCAGAAATAGATACAGCGGAAGGGCCAAGATTTATCCTCGAAGGCTGATAGTTCTCTTCTGTATAAATCGTTGATGGATTGCCCGCTCAGTTTTCTTCTGTATCAATCATTAATCGATTGCCGTTCGATTTACCAAAGGAGCATACAAACCTTGAAGGTTTTCTCGTGACTGTTTCCTTATGACCCCGCAGCATCGAAAGAGCCCGAGGATACCACACCAAAGGGTATTTGATATATCCATATTTCGCACAAGACTTTAGGTATTGAAACAAAAAAGATACAAAACTTCACTGGGAGACTTTAAGAACAGCACGGCCCTCAATTGAAGGATCCGCGATGTCGAGACCGTATAGATATGCAAGATTGTATACCCCTGAATGGCACCAATGTCTCGTATGTTACTCTGATCATCATCATTAGCTACTGTTGTTCAATTCTAGGCTGGCTCCACCGTCTTGCTTGTGATATGGGGCCGGGCAGATCAGAATATTGCTTTTTGCGAAGGGAGGTCAAAGCCAAATTTTGAGACAGACTATGAAGCGGATCCTCGAGCAAGAATCCAAGTGCCAACGTGAATATCTCAGGCCGCATTACCATTGAGTTCCTGTATAAACGTAATTGTCTTAAGTTGTTCTGGTTGCGATACCTTACGATTTAGATTAGCTTCATGGCAAGGAGGTAGGCAGATCAGGAGCAGGTCAAGGTGACGGCCTTTCTAGCTCGATCTAGTACCTAGTTGAGCTGGCCGCTTACTGGTAATTACGAGACCTCCCAAATTCCTATTTGTCCTCCCATTTTATAGTGTCAAGTGTTGTATTTTGATTAAGTTGCAGTATGAGCCAGGCAGATCAGACAAATTTGCTCCTGTCAAGAAGGGTCTCAAAGCAAAGTTTTGGGACATTACTCTGGCAAATTAGAGCATGATACAAGCGGTTAAGAACAGATTGAAGTTGGTCCTCGCGCAAACTATTACGAATCATTCTGCAAGCGCATGCATAATCTAAACCGCCAGGGATTAATCCAGCTGCTAATGACAACCGAGCAGAGGTTATTATGTTTTCATAAAATAGCTGAAGGTAAGGCATAATCGCGTCCCAATATGATTGGCTATGAAGCAATCAAGGGCCTAGTCGTTGTCCTGTGCTGCCCTGTGCTGCACTTTCTATTCCATAGGAATGGGAAGGGAGTGGGAAGAGAGTGGGAAGGGAGTGGGAAAGGAGTGTACGGGCGACTTAGTATGCCACCTGGGACTTAATTATTATTGGTTAATATTGCCAGGCAGTATTTTAGTTCACCCAAAAGTCGAATACCTCCAGGGCTGAATTCTGTCTTGTTTTAGACTGGTATAAATCAAAATACTCGATTATATATATGATAGAGGGCTAAACTAATACCGAACGCTTACTGGTACAAAGCAATAGGTAAAACGAGTGTGTATTTTAGAATAAGTAGTACTCCGTATTGGGCTCAACTATAACGCAGTGCCGGGCGAGCTACGCAGTCCGGAATATATAACAGCAAATACAATAAATTATAACTTGATATCTTAATAACCACGATTTTATTTTATTTTTTGTGAGCTAATAGGCCACGATATCAAATTGTAATTTATTATATTTACTATATATGTCAGAAATACTGTATATAATACTGGGTGAAAACAGCTGGAAGTGCTATATAACAACCAGTACCTGGTATACCCTACAAAAACCTTCCAAGATTCCAAGGAAGTGTATTAGAATTAGTCAGCAAGCCGCACACCCGTGGACCCGCCGTCAGATTGTCAAAATATGGATTTTATTATGTTTTATTAGTTAAAGTCCACGGGTATATATTTGATTACCTTACTATAAGGACGGTACAAAAAAGGTATATCCGGCTAACACTAAATTCTGAAGGCGATCACAATGGATAGAGATCTTTTTTGGCGAAAAAGATCCCTATATATACTCCGTAGTCAGATTCTGGATTGTAACCTTTCTGGCTGACAACAATGCCTCGAGAAGGCGGTGATCAAAGCGGACAGGCAGTATAGGCCAATAATAATTAAGTCCCGGGTGGCATACTTAGTCGCCCGTAGGTGGGAAGGGAGTGGGAAGAGAGTGGGGAGATACTGTATCGCATTCTGTTGCTAGGCGGAAATAACATGGTCTAACAATCACCTTTTTTTGAGGCCCGCAGCTCTGAGATAGCTCCCCGCCGCCAGTTTGGCTTGCTTGCTGGATCAACGTTCTGGATCCCCGGACTCCATACGAGTCCAATACAGAAACAGCTTTCAAGCTGTTATTTACGATTGTACTGGAATACTGCCAAGAAGGGGTTCAAGGGCAGATGAACCCTATTAGGTATAGCGTGTTTCGAAAGAGCGTTCGAGAAAGAATATCTATGAGAAAATGGTGAAACTGATTTCGATCCATCCTGTATAATAGATTACAACAATATCGCTAGGAACTGCCATGCTGGTCCTTGCAAACCAAAACAGTTGTTAATAAGTGTCCGAATTGATATCAGTCAGCACTTTTATGCGTCTTAGCATAGCCTGATTAGGTTAGTTATGTATTTGCGGTTTCTCTGCGGTTGACCGCGGTCCAACCATACGGTTTTGCGGTGCGGTGCGGTTGGTATTCTGCCTAACCATATTTAGCGCGGTTGGGCTTTGCCTACCGGTTGTGGCAAGGTCTAGCTTTAACCATGAATTGATGGGCGTGAAATTTATATATGGGTAAATACTCCCATCCCAACAGGGAAAAGCTAGAGCCAACCACCTCGTAAATAATGGCAGGCTCGAGCTGTGGAAGTGAAGTGCTTAACCAATTTCGCATAATCAATTATCAAATAAAAATATTTCTAATATCAGCTGAAACATATGTCTATCCCACTGATCCGTGTGCGCAACGTTGATTCGATAGAGATATCCATTCAATCTAGCCATGCCGGTTCGGACTTGGGCCAGCACACTCGCTTTTTCCATGATAATCGATCATACAGCAGCCGGGGGTATTTCCCTGGGAGGGGAGTGCTACATCCACTCTTTTGGTGTGTCTCCTGACGTCCTCTGGCAAGCCTTTGCTGGCGGTTGCTTGGGAATGTGCAATATCAGTGTGATTGGCTTCACTAGGGCGACCTGTGCTTATGGGATGGCTTCCTCGTGGGTCGCGGCCCTGGCCTGATCTTTCGCCAGGCCCAACAGTTGGTTGTCTTCGCTGGCAGTTACAGTATACTGTACGGACCAGCAGGGTGATACAGTGGTGAGTAAGAAGTGATAGCTGCCTGCGTTAGCAGAGCTGTACGAATCAAAGGCCTGAAAAGGTCTAGTGTTGGTAGAGCCATCTGTAAAAGAAGCATAAATATACCTCACCAAGACAGCGTAGGGTATAAACAGTTTGTATTCCTGCTTAGCGCTAGCCTCGTATCACACTAGAGTTATATGGAAAGCTGCAATTGCGACTAAGTGAGCTAGGCATAGTAATAAATACCGAAACATCTTATTACACCTTGGTATAACGGGCAGGAACACATTCAGCCAGCTAGCGTAGGCACACTGTTCAAAACTTATAGTCAACCTTTTCCCTTGTTCGCCAGGCGCTTTGATCGCCTATTGCCGGAATCTTCCTCTCCTTCGTGCTTCCTTTTGGGTTTACCCAGCACTTGTTGGCAGGGCGAATTGTCATTCTCCAGCTGCCTAGTCCCAATAGACGGTAGATGGGTGCGCTCTGCCTTTTTTCTGAGAGGGGTGAAAATATTGTTGTATGGGCAACTTCCTGTCCTTGCATGTCAGGCATGTGGTCAAAAATTGGTTTTATACAAGTAGGTTTCTAGCTCACCATCGCAATCTTTATCCCAATGCCAAGAAACCATCAAAATTATCCGGTGTTTGGTCGGTTGTTCGATGCTCTCCATAATGGATATAAGAGGCTGGCCGGTCATACCTCCCACAATTATGTTGCCGAGCGAGCCCAACTGTTCGAAGTTTGAGATATGACAACGCTCGAAAACCTGCCGAGCAGACTCTAGAGTGTGTCCGAGAGCGTCCACGGTCCAGTGGAAACGTAAATCGTGTGGTCTCCATGACACCGGAAACAATCCACCCATCTGGTGACCTGTATAATCTTTGAAGATAAGAGAGGTTTGGGGTGTCCGGTGCGCAAGGAACCTGGAGCTGGGCATGCTGGAGGATAAGATACAGCAGAAGACTGTAGTGACGGCAATTTAATTATTTTTCAGAAGCAGGGAAAGTACCCAACAATGATAAATAACAGACCAGGGGTGGGATACATTTATAGAACAAATGACCCGTCCTCGCACCGCTCGAGGGCACGGGTCTGATAGGTTTAGGCTTTGGAGGCATTGTATTGGTCGATGGAGCAGGGAGCCGTTTATAGTGTTCTTCCTAAGCTAAAACGAAAAAGAATAAAAAAAGAAAGAAAAGCAAAGAAAGGAAAAAGCAGCCGGTGCGAAGGTGTATCCCGGCCAGGGGTCGGAAACTAATTATTACTAATATTAGTAATATTGATGCCTGAACATGCCTGAATATTTGCCGGCAGAAAATATGAATACCTGAATTACCATAACAGACCTTGGGAGAAATTAGAGAATTACTACCGAGGTCGACAATATTGATGCCTTAGGAAATGGGCACAAATATGACGTTATTCGCACCTATACAAATCCTGGAATCCCCTTCTTCCTGGGCGTTGAAGTCTTCCCACTGTGTACTCGTCCTCCTCTCTTCCACCACTTGAAGCTCCCCTCAAGGTGAGCTATACGTCATTGTATTCCTGTCGCCGAGGCTGACTCCTAATCTCACGTTTATAAGGGATCGAGATTGATCCGTGGGCGTATGGTAGATGGTCAGGGGGATTCGGATTGATGAGGATGGATGGTGGCGATGAGGATAGATTGGCGATATGTATGGTCGGGGGTTTTTGAAATTGTTGAGAATATGGTATAGGAGGCTTCACACCTAGAAACGGGAGGGTTGGAATATTTGTATTGTGGGAATAGCTTCAATATTACCCGGGAGGGAGGCTTCCATTTGAGGGCTTCATTTACAATACACTGTAAGAGCGGTGCCGAAAGGCGGTATATAATCAGGTATAATCAGGCATCCTAAGGCACCAATATTAGTAATAATTAGTTTCCGACCCCTGGCCGGGATACACCTTCGCACCGGTCTAATTTTCCTGTCACAATCATATAAATGAGGACCAGCAAGAAATCGCAGGTGCGCACATAAACCGGTTAACATTTCACTGAAATTGCGTGATTTTACAGGCCGGCGACTTGGAAAGATCAGATTCGGTTTGCAAGGTTTCGCTCTTTAACTGTCGGAGTTGCTTTCTTCAACAGATGTTCCACATGAGACTCGATAGTAGCCAAAGCTGGTTTAAGTCGATCCCTCAGTTTTTGAATCTCGTCCAACTGGTCGCGGTTTGGGCGGATGTTAGAGCTCAATTTGGGACCAAAAGATTCCATGTGGTTAAGTAAATTTGAAAATTGTGAGAACCGCGCCTGCCGACATAGTGTCTTAGTTTCATAAAAGTCCGACGAATGTCTGACAGCTAATGAATTAGACAGTAGGTGAGCTTGGCTTTATCGGGCTTGAGAACTATGTCACATGAAAATCCCCCGCTTTGACGTGTAACGTGGCCAGTCTAGCGCAAACTCTCTGTGGCCCCACAAAATAATCAAAAAGTCTCGATAATTATTGACTTACCGATTTTCATGTTGTGAGGTCCAATTCGATACAACATAAAGGTTTATACCAGGGAGGGGGATGAGAAGGACTCTTGATAGAGATATGAGATCTACAATGAAAGTGTAGATGTAACTGGAAATCTCTGAATTGCGTGGAGAAAGAAGGAAAGAAACTATCTACATGCTAAGACTAAAGTACTGGGAGCAATAAGTGGCAGGTCACGTGACCTCCCTGTCAACAACTTGAGATTCTGTAAGGATCGCATGGTTTCTATTGGATAGTACTAGCTAGCGAATATATCTCATCTAATTACATAAGCCAATATTAACCTCTTTGTGGGATTACTAAGCCCTGCCTTTAGTAATCCCTCTTCCTGAGAGCACTTCCTTGGCGAGGCCAAGGACTCGGCCTCAGGCACCAAGCAGTAAGCAAACCCTGCAAACTGCTTGGGAGCACACTACCGAAGCCACCTAGGATTCTGCCCTTTCTTTCCATCTCCTCGGACCTCCATCAATAGGATATGTGTCCCCCTCACGACTAGAGATTTTTTCCTCTATCCTCGCATTAATTCAATCTTGACACTATGCACACCACGGTAAATCCAAAATGAAGAGACCAGCTCCGATAGTAAGACATAGATGCGGGGAATCTGGCCAGTCAGCGGTTGATCGACTATCGGAAATATTGCATACTCGCGATCCGGCAACGTCTTTATTCTTCGATCCCAAGCAAAACGCCTTCATCTCACTGGTTTCCTTGATATGGCCCCCCTCGGAATGCATCCATATCAACTCAAGTCGAATCCGAAGCTCGGAATTTGTTGTTCCAGGGAAAAACCGCCCAAGGTGTCATAATAATCAAGCTCACTGAGCAAACTAAGTTTCACTTTGAACCTGAATCTGCCCAAAGACAGGGTGAACTTCAAAGTGCGTTTGATCACCAAAGAAGCTGGGATGCCCTCCGAGCTAAATGGCGGCGGATCCGGCCTCATCGGTAATCTGCGCATAAGGATCGAATCCAATTACTTAGCGGGCCCTACCGCAGTTTACTCCGAAGTTGGACGACAAACTCTTATGTCAACTTTATGTTACGACCTTCGATTATACCTGTTTAAGCGAATCTACTCCAAAGTTGGTGTCATCTTCCCTATGCGAAAGCGACCGGCGCTCACAGAAAACTCTAGCAGTGAATTTTCTTCGCGCTGCGCTGGGTCCTTTGGACATGCATGCCAAATCTTGCGCTTGCACGAAAGCTCGTTGTAGGATTTCTCCTGGGCATGTCTTGGCTCACATGAGGAGACTGGGATGAAAATCATGACCTTTGCGATAGCCACCGCATTGGGTGAGATGGAATATATTCGATTTCAGTAAATCATCCCACCCATTTTCGATGAAATCGACGAGAAGCGCGCCGTACATGTCACACTGAATATCTCGCCGTGGATCACTCAATGCTATCAGACCTTCTGATCGAGGCGTTTTTTATTTTACGTCGATTGCGTACCCACCCTCGCTGTTCCCTCTCGAGGCAGAGAGAGAGAGCGTCAGTAGCTGTATTTATACTTTCTCGTCTTGTGGTATCTAAATCTGGCCTTTTGATAGTGAAATTGATGCACCATCTAAGCGACCTGAGGGACCTGTTTGATCGGTTGACCGGATTTTGCATCAAACTCTGAGGTACTCGGAATAACCAGCTTTCAATATTTTCACCCGCGAGTCTGTGAGTAGGAAGGAAGAAGGGGTACCCAGAAGGGCTGATGACGCGATGACTGGGTGTTCAACAGGGGATTGTGTCGAAAACTGAGCGTGTAACAGTCTGTTTGAGCCCGCAAGAAATGTGCGAAGAAACTGCAGCCACCTTATTACTCATGGCCACAAAGCCAAGTTCCCCACTGGAATGGCAATAGCTGTAATACAATAACCATGCTTTACTATAAGAATAAGTGGTCTTTCCCTCTAGCTTAGCAAAACGAACAGAATGCCCCCAACCGGGTCAAAGTGGTATCGATGGATTGCTGATACATCTCTCCCCAACTTATATGCCACTTCAGCCGCTATAATCATAGCAATTTGCTTGATCTATTGGCTTGCACGAGATGTGTGGCTCTGGGTGTGGAAAAGACGCTATGTGATCACCTGTCGCCCCTTCCGATCGAAAACGATAGGCTCTTGGAGGCGACTTGTCTTCGTCCACCTGCCAAAATGCCTGCGTTGGCTTGACATTCCCAACTACCGGGAAGCGCTCATCCTGACTGTTATACTCGCGGCAAACATTATTGGCCTCCGGCTTAGAGCCCATTCTTGGGCCGAAGCGCAGAAAAGGGCTGGCTCTTTGGCAGTCATCAACGTCGTGCCTTTGTGCACCGGTATCAGCTTTGGACTTCCGGCGGACCTGCTCCACGTGGACCGCCAGATACTTGCGTGGTTTCATCGCTGGATAGGTCGCATCTGTGTGCTCCATTCTCTGATTCACTGTTCGCTGCTTCTTACTGTCGCCAGAACGATGAATCTGGCGACCCCACGGTACATTGTACCAATAGCCGTAAGTCAAAGATATATTTTCCTATTGCGTATACTGACATCTCATCAAATATAGGCCGGTTGTGCTCTCTTCCTCGTGATACCAGTTACTTGTGCGGCGGTCCAACGGCGATACTTACAGTTTGCGATGAAATGTCACTACCTTCTTGCAGCAACGGCGATTGGCGCGCTTATATACCATCTCGTGGAGCGGCGGTCACTGTATCGGTGGTACCTAATAGGCGCTATCTGCCTGTGGTTTTTCATCAGCGCTGTTGTCTGCATAATGGCCGCATGGAATCAGAAACCTTGGGGATCTTCCCAAAAAGAGGTAGTCATGAACTCGGTGAGCGATTTTCTCTGGCTAGATATAGAGCTACCCCTCAACCGAGCGATCTGCCCTGGCCAGTACGTGCAGCTTTGGATGCCACGAGCCGGCTTTCGGGCTTTCTTTCAGCTCCCTCGGTTCTATGTTGCATTCTGGGAAAATGGACCAACTCAAAGAATAGTCCGCATGGTAGTAGAGCCGCAACCCGGGCTTACGCAAAAGCTGTATCACGAAGCACTGAAATCCCCGGCCAAGCATTCGGTTATGATACTCGGACCCTACGGACACCCTCTCGACTTTTACCGGTTCGGTACAATCCTCTTCGTCGTGGAGGATATTGGATTTTTTCGAGCGCTTTCATACATTGAGATGTTGGTGGAGGCAAGCCGTAGGCGCGAAGTGATGGTGCGAAAGCTAGAGGTTCTCTGGAAGCGCCAAGTTGGTAAAGATGGTATGTTTCTTGGACAAGTACTTTCGGGTCAAGGAGCCGCCTGTTGATCGGGTTTTTCCAGAGAATCCACAATGGGTAAATGAATGGATACAAGGACTTTTCAATCGCGACTGGAGAGCGTTCAAGGTGAATTTTCTGCTAGTGCAACCTATTTGAAAAGTCGCGATCTGACCATTCTCCAGATTTTGCAACTCAGCATCTACTGCCCGCGTACTCAGGCAGGACCCCAGAATAATATTTCCTACGAATATACAGAAAGGATTTGCTACTTTTATGGCGCGATCAAAATCGAGGAAGAAGTTAAACGGTATCTCAATAACCACCAATACGGAGCTGTGGCCGTAGCGGGTGAGTTTCCGAATTCCAACCTTCACCCCTATCGTGGGCTGAATAACAAAGTTTTGTGCTTACGGTGCTTACGACCTATGCAGTATGTGCGGGTCCGTCAATATGTGCGGCTGTGACAAAGACTGTACGGCTACACACAGGAAGAAATCTTCAGCTAATGGTTTTCGACCCCGATATGAGCCCTGCGCCGGATGGAGTTGTAGATTCCTTCGGCAGCGACGAGACTCCAGTTGACCAGGATCCACCACATCAACTTTTGGGAGTAGGCGAGGATAAGCAGACCCACCAAGTACAACGATTCCCAACAGACAGCAGCAAGCTACAGTACTCATCGCCTAAAAAAATCCATACGGAAGCTGGAAACGTCGAAATGAGCAACCACTCGAAGTGGGTGGAAAGTAGATTGGAACAAGGGCACAGAAAGCCTACAATCACTAAACTATGAGATTGTGCCAGCTTTATAATGCTTGCGCTCTCAGTGTATTGATAGGTTCTGTAGCTTACTGGAAACTATATTATCTGCCGCAAGTTCGTATATCACAGGGGGGGCATGGGAAGCTTGGAACCTGGCCTTGATCGCCGCACAGCCGGTCCGCCTTCGCGACTCGGCCGAAGTGTATTGCCAATAATGGGGGGCCTTGGAACGTCCCGGTCAGGGCGTGGATAGTTGGTATCAGCGAAAGTAAGCCCAACGAGACACAACTGTACGCGAAGCGGTACCGCGCTGCACAGATAGCCGTCTTACCTAACAACCCACCGACGGCTACTGGGATCCTAGACTAGGGAATCCACCAGAGTCCCGACAGCAACGACGGCGAAGGCCGCTAGGTATCCGAGCTGGAGGGAAGGCTGGGTACGGAACAGCAAAACCACGGAAGGAATAATACAGTGTTTCCGAAAATTGGTGTCACCATTTATACTCTCCTGTTCTTTTTTTTTACCCTAATGCCAAGACGTATTAGGCTATATATAGTTTTAGCCACGGAATAAAGGTAATTTTGTATTATTCTATATACAATATTTTACTTTGACTGGAATATGATGTCATGTACTATGCTTGTATGGGTAAAAATTTGAAGCTAGAACTTTCCATTGAATTACAGTGTCTAAACGATCTGGCAAAGGTGATCATTTCTCTTTGCAACTCTTACAGTAGAGTTCGAAATCAGTTTTAACTCTAAACTCTTATTTTTTACGTCCCGGACCCTAAGTGGAGACACGCTAATCTAATTTTAGCTCTTCCCCTGTTGATCCATGTAGGACATCCGATCACATCATCTAGACTGATTAACTACAATGCCCAACACAATGCGCACGGAAAACTGCGATTTTATCGTACTATCCCCTTGAGGAGCATCTCACCGCTTCGCATTACCTCCAGGACAATGTCTACCAATCCAAACAGGGTCCGGATGGACCAACACCTCTATATTTCTACCATTGACGCTGAGCCACTTCATCGCTATCGACAAGGCGGTTACCATCCAGTCACTTTGGGGGAATGCTTGAAGGCTGGAAGGTATAAGGTGTTACATAAACTAGGGTGGGGAGGCTACTCGACAGTTTGGGCGGCAAGAGATCAAAGGTTGTACAAGCTGGTGTGACTCGCGGTAGTTCTAGTTAACTTAAAAGCTGCTTGTTTACAGGGAACAGACGTATATTGCTATCAAAATTTCTATTGCAGAAACTGAATATAATGGGGACACGCGAGAGCTCCAAACCTTGAAAGTGCTTGCATCTCATCATCCTCGTCCGAAACATACGGTGTATATACTCGATGACTTCGATCTAAAGGGCCCAAACAGATCTTATAAATGCCTGGTTTATGAGCTTCTAGGCTCTAACGTTCTAGATATAATTGATGCAAACTTTCCAGATGGGAGACTTCCTGGCAAGCTCGCCAAAACCATTGCAAAGCAATGTTTGATCGGACTCGATAGTTTGCACCAACGAAAGATTGGCCATGGAGGTAAACACTTTCTTTGACATACTTTGGGCAGTGCTCACTTATTATAGATCTGCATACCCGCAATTTGGCCTTCGCTATACCATACATAGACGATTTGACTGAAGAAAGGTTTATTGAGATGCTAGGAAAACCAGAAGTTGGCTATGTCCAAAAATGAGATAGGAAATACCTTGAAGCCGGCGTGCCCGAATATATTGTGAAACCTGCCTCATACGGGAATCACTCTTGGTATCTAGCTCAGGATGTCAAAATAATCGACTTCGGAGAGTCATTCTTACACACTGCCCCCCCTGAAACACTGCATACACCTCTATCTCTTCGGGCACCCGAAGTTATATTTCAAGATAACATTGATTATCGTGTTGATTTGTGGAGCATGGGCTGCATGGTGGGTGATATCATACTCGGGTAATACACAAAAACCCAAGCTAATAGGTTAGCAGCTCTTTGAACTGTTCGTGGGCCAGCCACCTTTCGACACATTCTTAATAACGCCCGCAATCCTTGTTGGCCAAATACGAGAGATGGCAACTGATGAACTACCTGAAAGATGGCAACATAAATGGAATACGATAAACACAGGGGACGTCATGGCCACAGAAAGCACCGGGCCCAACTTGCAGGAATAGCTGGAAGAAGTATACTTTGATAGCCCGCTGAGTCCCGATCTCACACGAGAGGACATAGTGAGGCTGGGACGAATCGTTGGAAGATTATTGCATTTTGAGCCGTCTGCAAGAGCGTCAGCGAAACAAGTTCTTGATGATCCTTGGTTTAATAAGTGACCCTATGACAAATAGTCATTACAACATGAAGGCGCGTGTGAATTTTGTCTTCATTCAATTGAACTGTACTGCGCCTGGCAAATTTCTGAGACTTCTTCAATTTTCAAGCCTACGTGCCGAAAATGACCTCTAGCACTCTCTTCTTTTGCACCGACCATATCAATACACTATCCAAGAAAGGTATCAAAGCCTTGATCGGGGTCTACTTCGTAATAGCCCCAGTTGCGTTTAATAAAGGCTTTGAGCTCAGCGAAAAACTCTTCAATCGGATTCAAGTCCGGCGAGTAGGGTGGTAGATAGACCAATTTTACCCCTATATCTATATATATCTGCGTTATCCGCTCTGAATGATAAAACGAGGCGTTGTCTATAACCAGAACGGATTTAGGTTCGGGCTATGTTCCGCAGTGCTGAAGAAGCTGCGCTATAAAGTCCTTGAACACGGTGGTATCTGTGGACCCGCAGAATACACGCGATAAAACGATTCTATCCTGGGAATACGCAGGCAGTATCTGATATCGCTGGTCGCTGTGAAATTGTGATACTTATATAGGGGACACACCAAGTGGTGACTAGCCTATAGACCTGAACCCAACCCTTTTATTATATCCAGATTTATCTACGTAAACCAGCTGATACGACTGAAAATCCGACAAATTATACAGATGCTATTCTCGCAAATCGGTATTGCGCTCCCTCGCTTACTGCCGAGTGCTCTTTGTAGACTAATTGTTGGTAATAAGGGCTCGTCTGATACTGGAGGTTATAACTAGGGTGCGGAAATCGTCCCAGAGGAAAACAGCTATCTTATCGAGGTATAAACCGGGCTTTTTAGATAGGTGTTCGCAGAGGGCTTTAATAATCAGTGGCGTTACAGTCCGTTTCTGTCCTATTCGAGTTGGGGGGGGTATATACACTTCCAAATTGCCGCAAGTTTACGCGAATAATTATAGTCGTAGCCTGGCTGCATTCTGCTTCTTCAGCTATTTTAGATATACCAAGTGACTGGCTCTCTATTATATCGCGGATGAGATACAGCTTGGATAGTGGAAGTCTGGGAGCTATTTTGTGAGGTTGATTATAACGTTCTAGAGAGATAGTCGGGTGAAGATGCCTCCTGCTTGAGGTGGGTGGTATGGCAGAGAATTACCATTGTATGGCATTTGCGAGTAAAATACACAAGACAGGGTCCCACCTTCGTTATGTAAAATACAATGTCTATTCTTGGAAATCACGGATCTACCACTATTCCAAATGTGAGCTAGCGTGTGTTAGATTAGGGTTTGCGAATCAAGTCGCAAGAGTGTGGAGTTAAAACTGATTTCGAATTCTACTGTACCTGTGACTTCTGATGTTTTGCTGGGGCTCTCCATGACTGATCGTGTTAGCAAAGAGGCACATTCTGCTGTTGGGAAAGTCTCTCTTTATACTATAGGTCTTCTCACTCGGCTGCCCATGGTGGAGCATGGCTAGACCAAGGTCACCGTGGCAGTAGTACTGGGTAACAGACCCTCAGTTACTTGCATTCGACCGACTTCCAACGTTCACTCCCTATAGCCACCATACAAAATTGCTTGTATCTGTTATAGACCTACATTTGAATACCTAACCGCTGATATTAAACAGCTTCATGTGCAGTGACGTTCTCTTTTGGCGCCCTCAGGAATATCGCCTTCATGGGTATCAGCGTCGGCGTCTTCCCACCAGTAACTCCTCCATATACCAATAGCGACAACATTTTTCTTATTCCTTCATTATGAGCCGAAAGATGCAGCATTTTATCTCTATTGCTCCTTCACACTGCTACATTTCGATATCGCTATAGCATACAGAGATGTCTATTAGATCTGTAGGCTTACTAATGACTAGTCATGGATCCATGGATGTCATCCCCACAGAGCAACCCGAATCTTTCTAATTTATTCAAGGTGATGGCTGTATATTGAAACAAATATTGTATACTGTAAAATGATACATTTACCATTCACATCTACAATAAAGAGATAATTCTAGTAATTGAAGGCTTGTTCCCTTGGAACATTGTTTCTCCGACACATACTGTATGATAGAGCAACGCTCGCTCTTTTTGTCCTTTTACTTTGCCGGTGGGTTCTGTCGGTGCGGCATGGGCCGCAGACGTCGCATCCATTCCTGTCGAATTTCCTCCGTGGCAATGGCTTTCTCGTGTTCCAGCATGTGCTTAGAAATATTATCATATGCACCAAACGCGGTAAGAGACGCCCACCACGCCTCTGGCGTCATGCATCTCTGCTGAAGCTGCAGTCTAAGCGTAGGCTGGTCTCGCTGCAATGTTGATTGAGCTGGGCTGTTGGCACCCTTAGACTTTCGCGATGGCCGCGTGTTAGGGCGGCGAACAAGTAAGGGCATAGTGTCAAGTTCGTCTCCCGCGGGGTGCGTTGGCTGACGAGAGATGAGAGGCAATGCGAGAGGTGATGCCTTTGGCTGGTGCTCCCGATGCTATTTATCGCCGCCATGACCTTACGTTCACCATAAAGTGTTCCTTGTCACATTCACTCGTCACATTCAACGCATATCCATAACCTGTCGCTCCTCACATAATACGTAGTCGCAAGAAGTTGATGATTTTAGTCGGCAGCACGGCCCATACTTTGGCGGCGCAAGGACTTCGATTGTACGCTCTTCCAAGTTCGCTCGACGTCCCATAGTGTCATAGTCAGGTGACAAATTGAATCTTGAGATTTAGTGCGAAACCAATTTTAGCTTTTTACCCTCTACGCTATCTAATTGACAGTCAAGGGCTTAGATGTTACTCTGAACCCAGGTGCAGATACCTGATGGTTGGAGAAACAATCTGACGGTGCAAAGACACAACGACCAAGAGACATGATAAACGCTTAGTTGGATAGGTTTGACGAAAATCGGACTTGAACGGTTGATAGCCCGTTTAAAATAAATGGTGGGTGCTCGTTGGGTCCAACCCGTCAGAAACTGGCTGTCCAGTGGGCTAGCACACTTGGCCAATCCGTCTATAAAAGCCTAGGCCAATTCCCAAAGATTCGAATATCCATGGTCTGTTCGATCCCCCTCTTATGTATATGCTCTGGATTATGCTAACGTGAGATAGGAAGAACGACTTCTTGGAACATTTTGAACTGGACCGCCTCGACTTTCAGTCATATTCCGAAGACAAAAGTGGCTGCGTATCGATCATCGGGAGCAGCATCAGCGTGGTTTGGGTGGAAAGGCTGCCCGGTCCAACAAGCGGCAGAAATTAGATAACCTCAGCCGAGAGCGAGGGTGGAACGCGGTGGATTAGGACTCATGGTCGAAAACATCAAATCTCTTCTACTCTCTGCGGTCGCTTACGCTGCATGACTGCCCGAATCAGCTGTATCTCGTGCAATTACTGTATTGGTCACAAAAGCCGCTCCGACTGACGCATTTCGAATTCTCTTTCGATTATCTGCTGCACGAACCGGGCGAAGGATGTAGCCTTTCTGCTGTTGTGCGGTTCTTATGTTCATTTCGTGGGCTGCAGCATCTGCATTTGAGGTTGTCCAATTTCCCATCGTCAAAATCCCACATCCAGGACACCATCCGACACCACCAGACCACGTTGAAAAGCCTTGTCTACCATGAGCGCCAACTCGCACCAATCGATGCTGATGGCTTATTTGAGGATGATCGGGATACATCGCCCGCTTAGGTTACGAACTTGTCTGTCGGTGTAGACCTGGGCCAGGTGTTTGCTCTGGCTTTGTGTGCTAGTCCATCTGCGGCTGTAAGTTTTTCTCGGCCCAGTAAACGAGTGCCTGCTAATAAGGACAGCGTCGGTGCCTTCTACCTACGGCCAAGCATTCCCAGCTTCAGATTCTACATCTGCGGTTCAGTGGCCTCGAGCGACTCTATCGAGATATCCCACGAGAGATTGCCACTTATATACGTGAGATACGCAAAGGATATTCACGGCATCCTCGTTCGTGCTGGAGTTCCGTGGACCGGGACATCTCCAATGGTAGCCACAACTACCGTCCTATTGTTGATGAGTACTTTGACAGGTCACGTATTCTTCCTACAAATGACGTCCCTGAAGGAGGTCCGTTAAGTGACCGGCCCAAGACGAAGGCTTCTAAATCAGCTACGTCGGATTATCTCATAGCCCAGCACTGGATCCAAGCGAAATTCAAAGTGATGGCGACTCAGCCCAGCAACCTGTTCCTGTACCCCACGAGCTGTTGTGTGCTACCAAGGAATATCTCGAGAAGTCTGAGAATCCAGAAATGCTTTGCGAATGAGGAGCTTCCAGATGATGTTCGCTTTCAGATGTTTTACGACGCCGGATATATTACGCGCCACTTTGGCGCTATTTATATAAAAGAAAAGTTACCTCAACTGCAACTGGAAGTATCCTTGCTACATAGGATGGCGTTCCGGTGCCATGCTATTGATATGCATCATGTGCGCAGTCAGTCGCTGGCGTTGCTCGAATTCAGTGCAGGAACTTCAAAGATAAGACTAAGCAGGCCATGATCTCCTGAGTGGCAGTCAAGTAGGGAGATCCGGATAAATATAGGTATACACTGTCTGCCTCGTCGGGGCAGCACATTGCAACGCTATCGCCTAGTTGCATCACTATCACAACTTGAGGCCCAACCGTGTAGTGTAGCTTGGAAGATTCCGATCGCACCAGTGTCCAATTATTTCCCGAGGCTGAGTCCGTCACCGTTGGATCTCAGGTATATAAAGGGCCTCCTTCCCCCAGCCGGTTGTATGCTCTGATATTCTCTTTTCCTCTTCCCAAGCTTGTATCGACTTTCCTCCCCTGAGCGTGGCGACAAAGATCACGATGGCAAGCCCCTCCGACACGATTATTATCACCGATGACGAGGAATTGCCAAGCCTCGAGCCAGGTAGCTCACGACCTCGGAGGGCCCCTCGCGTTGATTACAGCTATCGAGATTTTGAGAGCGTGATCGTCGAACCAGTCGCTGATGAGACGGATACGACACCATCACGCAAACGCAAAAGAACCGAAACGAAAGAGCCGTCTACTTTGGTACCAGTTCCCCATGAGACCTTGTTCGTCCTTAACTAACAATGGACCAGGAAAACGCCTTTAAGGAGCTCCGGGGGGCGGTTAGCCGTAAAATACAACGGCTACAAGAGAAAAATCGCATCCTTCGAGATGAACTTCGCCAAGAGAGGGAGAGGCACCAAAAGACGCAAGAGGAACTTTCCCAGCAAAGAGAAAAGCATATCTTAGAGTGCAAGATCTGTTATATGCAGCCAGATCGCTGGGTGCTCATTCTGTGTGGGCACATGGTGTGCAGGTCATGCGTAGGAAGTCTTGGAATAATGGAGAACTGTCCTATCTGCCGGGCACCCATCACGGGATATATCGGATGCTACCCTTTTGCAGGATAAAGCATACATTTGTATATCGTGTTACAGGTCTAGTTCAAATAAAAGTCTATAATCAACGCACAACTACCAATAGGCTCAAATATCTACTGGATGCTCCCCTGGGAAACCGTTGTCCCCAGTAGACGACGAATAAATGTACTTGAGATCTAGATCAAAATACTTGTGACCCATATAGACCGTAGTCAGAAGACCGAAGGCCCTTGCGGTTACTAAGCTAGGGTGGTCGCCAGTTGACAGTTTGAAAGCCTACCTAGACTCGGAGCTGTGGACGTACGTCTAATACTGGTCTGAAACCGGCATATTTCTTTACTTTCGTACCCGACCCTAGCCCGATGCTGCCTCCAACCCACACGGCGGTTATCCCCCCATTGAAACACACGTACACGTCGGACGAGAATGCGCTGCTCGTGCGGCTGAAGGAAAAAGAGGCAATGCCATGGTCTGAGATTACGACTCACTTCCCAGGTCGAAATATGTCATCACTTCAAGTCCACTATTCAACCAAGTTACGCCACAAGGCCAGCTCTCGGTCTGGAAAACCGAGGGGACGCGAATGAGAGAGGCTATGCTGTCGGGGTATTTCTTGGTTCGCACCTGTCGACCTTTCGCTGTATACAACATCCTCCGCAGCCATCTGTCTCAATACAAGCATTAAGGGTAGCTTTGTGTACTCTGTAAACGGCGGACCTGTGAATTACTATATGCGGTTAGTTTTGCCTTGTTGGGTTTAGCTCCCCAATACGCCGTCACGTAACCTACCTTCAATGCCGCCGACATAAAAGACCCGTCCTCGCTGCTCCTCCTCCCTCTCTCTCACTTTTCCGTTATTCTGCCTCTCTATCTTGCACCTATCGCCGCCCCCTTTCTTTTACTCTGGCCCCCACCGACTACTGCACATTTGCTTTCAGCCTGACGCACTGCCACTTTCATTTTTACCGGAGATGCCGCTTGATCCGACATCTAGCTTGCAATGTCTGTCACCCAGAAGCGTAACCACTGGGATGATACAGCATCCTGTTCTTTCGTGTCGATGATCCTATTCCTTCCCTAGGGTAGTGACTGAGCACCATCCTACGAGGATATCTAGGCCTCCCTCTGCCAATGCGCCTTTCCGTCTCTGATTCCGCGGGCCTCCCTTCAATTCTACAAAGTGCCAGTATTCCCTCGACGCTGCATATCCCTCTCCTACCGCCCCACCTAAGGTTACATTGCACAGCCCCAGCTTCATAGAATGGCTCCCGGTTGCCTGGCCAAAAACCCAGTTGTCGTCATCGTCGGCCTCTCCGGTCCCTCTCCACCCAGTCGGTGAAAACTCGAAATCACAGCTCGGTCATATTGGCCAATAGCGAAAATGCTGCACACGCCCTGGATCTTGTGTCGATGCTACATCTTGTGGTCAATGCGAGACTGCAACCGAGGGGATTTTTGCCAGGAAACTATGACTTGTGGGCTGTGAAACTGGCATGGTCCAGCGTCCTCGACTACAATGGGTTATATTACCATATATTCATTGTCTTTCCGTGGAATCTCTAGGTCCAATGAAAGCCACTGTAGAGACCCGCTCCTAGGTGACCCTCACTCTTGAATGAGCTAGCTGAAAATAATCTGTTGTCAACGTCCTTTCATGTTAGCACTTCCAGGAGACTCTACATAGCTCTATTATAGACACGGAAGCAGTCTCTCATCCCAGGACCACTCCTATTAGATTCCTCTCGGGGTCTGATACATCTTATTTATAGTACGCTCTTGTTTGTTTTGTCGGGTTGGGTTAACCTGTTATTGGACGGTTAGTAGTCAGATGCATAAAACGAGAAACCCGAGAAGTGAAAGCGCTTGCAGTGAAGGCTCCCGCCGGAGTAAGAGATTGCGATCCTAGGCATCCGGCTTGAAATTATCTTTCTTTCTATTCTTATTTCGGTCATGTAGGATAAAGAGATAGTATAAATAGCATCGAACTTTTTTTGAATTAAAGTTCCATTATATAATAATACTATAGCCTTAGAGAAAAATAATACAAACCCGTCCGCTCTAGTCGAGAAATTTCACCCGGTCTTATATTTATCTCGAAATAACTCCCATTCTTCTGGCGCTTGCAGACTTTCGTCGAGTTTGGAAGCACTTGAGCCAGCCCCACAGTTACTATCTTGTTTGACGTGTTTGCTTTCACCGTTGATCATGTGACAAATTCACACTTAAACGCTTTTCAGGTGGCCGTTGAAAACCCTCCTTATAGCTCTCCAAAATGTTGGCGCACTTCTGGAAATGTTGCTCGGCTTTTCATGAATTACTAAAGTACTACCTATATGGTTCTTTTGGCATCTTTGGTCGCGTATTACCCTCTCCCATCAGAAATTATCTGTCCGCACGTGGAAAGAGTGACGATATTGAGAGGTGCGGACACCCCTTAACGGAAAATGATTCTCCCGCCGTCGCAAAGAACCACTTTTTGGGATCAATTGAAGAATATCAAGCTGTCTTGCCAGGCGAAATAGCAGACCCGGTCCTCTATGAACCTCAGCTCGGTGAAACCTTGAGCCAAGGGTCGACTTCATTGATAGTGAGACTAAAACCGGGTATCGTTGTCAAATGCCCCAGGTATTCGTGGTGGTATTCCGGAGCCGCGGACGCATCCTCATTTGTCAAGGACATCAAGCGCAGTTTCGAGGTTGAAGAGCGACTTTTCGATATATTAGGGACGCACCCTAGAATAATATGGTATGTCAGCTGAACGCCAGGCGGTCCAATTATTAATATTATTTCTACTGTAGCTATATTGGTATCTCCGAGGAACCTCGTGGATTGCTCTTTGGCGAAGCTAGCGATGGTAATCTGCAAGCTTACATTGACCAGCATAATGATGCTATCGACCTATCTCTTCGTTTGAAATGGTGTTGCCAGGCAGCAGAAGCCGTCCACTATATCCACCAAAAGGGAGTCATTCATTCCGACTTGCGGCCAGAGAATTTGTTATTACACTCCGATTCCAAAAGCAAGCTCAATCTTCTACTATGTGATTTTGGAGGATCGACGAATGGCGACATAGATGGTGGACATCTCCCCGACTCCGGCTTTTTCAATCCATGCAAGCCATGGGTGTCAACAGAGGCTGTGGATATATTCAGCCTCGGGTCGGTCTTCTACACGA